ATCTACCAAAATTAGGTAATATTTCCAAAATTGAAAATCTACTTCCTGAAAGTCGATAATCTACTTCCTAAAAGTAGTAGTAATCTATTTGTTTCTTTTTCGAGTAGATAACCAACTTTCCCTGAAAGCAGATATTTCCCATTTTTTATGATACAAATTTCGTTTTCATGATAATCTACATTGCAAAATTAGGTAATATTTCCAAAAAGCCCGAAAATCTACTTCCCGAAAAGTCGATAATCTACTTTCCCAAAAGTAGGTACCTATTCACTTTTTCAGGAGTAGATAAATCAAATTTCTGGAAAGTAGATATTTCCCATTTTTATGATACAAATTTCCCGTTTTCTATGATAATCTACTTTCGGAAAATTAGTAATATTTCCCAAAAACTCGATAATCTACTTCCCTGAAAAGTCGATAATCTACTTTCCCGAAAAGTAGATAATCTACTTTTCGGGAAAGTAGATAACCAACTTTCTCGGAAAGTAGATATTTCCCATTTTCTATGATACAAATTTCCCGTTTTCTATGATAAGTAGATAACCAACTTTCCCAGAAAGTAGATATTTCCCATTTTCTGTGATACAAATTTCCCGTTTTCTATGATAATCTACTTCGGAAAATTAGGTAATATTTCCTAAAAACTCGATAATCTACTTTCCTGAAAAGTCGATAATCTACTTTCCTGAAAAGTAGATAATCTACTTTTCAGGAAAGTAGATAACCAACTTTCCCGGAAAGTAGATATTTCCCATTTCCTATGATACAAATTTCCCGTTTTCTATGATAAGTAGATAACCAACTTTCCCAGAAAGTAGATATTTCCCATTTTCTATGATACACATTTCCCATTTTCTATGATAATCTACTTTGGAAAAGTAGGTAATATTTTTCCAAAAAGTCGATAATCTACTTTCCCAAAAAGTAGATAATCTACTTTTTGGGAAAGTAGATATTATATATTCAGGGGAAATCTTCAAAACAACAATTCTAAGTACAACTATTTATTAGTTAAATGAATGACATGGACTCCTTAATAGATCATTATATTGATGTTACTAGACAATGACTCTCGGACACAAACAGAAAATGGATACACTTCCCAATATAAGTAACTCATCCTATGGATCACTCTGACAATGACTCGTGTGACCTGAGTGAGGCACAGCAGCTGGGGACTCTGCAGGGCCTTGTTCTCCTAGAGAGAATGGTCTGGGTGGGCACTGGATTCCATCTCCTGTGGAAGATCCTGCCAGCTGGGGACTTGGTGCTGGGAAGGGAAGCATCCCTCTCGACCTCGACTTGTGACCGTCTGGCTCTGGTTTCCGTCTCTCCCTGACTCACCCCTGGGAGGAGCTGTAAGCCCCTTTTATTGGAGGTCTCAGGTCAGCAGGTATCATCTCCCGATTATCACTTATCTGAGCGAGTCTGAACAGCTGTGTTTGCTCAGGTGCACGGTGGTTCGGGGTGACAGGGTGTGGTGTTTGGTCAGGTGTCAGTTTGTTGGCTGGAGGGCAGTTTCTTGAATTAACAAGATCATGTCATCATGTCGCCTGGTCTCCCATCACACTATGGCGAGAACTCCTTTTCCCTCCGTGACCATGACCTTTGTTGAGCCAGGTCTTAATCTCACTTTAATTACTATAGGATCGGTCAACTAAGTGGGTGTACACCTGCTCATGTAGTCACTGTAGGCTTTGGTCTGATAAGCAATCTTTACACACATTACATATATATTGGCCAAATTGGTAAGCTTAATGCCTTAAGAATATTTCGACCGAAATATTTGGTTAAATAAAGATATATAAAAAACTAAAAATCTATGATATGGACGTGCAAATCGCTTCATGAATGGAGCTGTGCGAGTCTATTTTCCCAAATCTAAGTCACAATCCCACATGGATTGACATGAGCTTATTTATTTACACAAACACCATTGTACACTACAATAGAGTATATTATACCGGTAAGTACTGTACCTGTAAACAAAGTAATGTACAGTATATCACTACTGTTGTCTTGAGCTTTAAGTTGAGTATATTGTTTAATTTCCTGAATGTAATACATAACTGTAATTATCTTTTATGTCTTTTACCACTTCTGATGGAGGTGTGGTAAGGGATTAGTGGGTCTCATGTTACTGACCTGGTCTGATGCAATGTCAAGTCACCTATTGTAGGGATGGGGGATCAGAGCAAAAGCACTTTATAGTCAGAATGAAAGAACTTCACAGTCACTAAAACAGGGAAAGTATTTCAGTCAGAGCAAAAGCACTTCACAGTCACTAAAACAGAGTACAATGAGAACTTTAGTGATGTCCTTTCACTGAAAGTAAAAAGCAACACGGATGATGATGACCAAACATTGAGCTCCTTTTCTTAGACACATGTAACCAAAAAGAAACAATACCCGCACAGTAGTTCACCAGATGGCCACAATGTGGTGTTTGGGTAGATGATGCCTCAGCTGACAATTGAAGCAAGTGATGCATTCCATACGCCGACTTAGCGTGATGAATATCGTTAATGCAGGCTTGTTTATACAGTAACACAAATAGGGAAGTGGTCTTAATGTATCTGCATCAGCAAAATGAATTATCGTAGATTTGGATATCGTAAATAGAGGTTTACCTGCATATCCAAAATTCATTGCATGCTCCAGGAACCTAACCCTGAAGGAATCAAAAGTCTACTCTACTCTATTACATAATAGCTATTCCCGAAGATTAAATTGCATAGGCAGAGGACTCTTTGGTCTTAACAATATGTTCCATTCCTGATGTGGTGGTACATTTTCTGATGCCGCTACTTGGAATTTTAACAGCAATCGACACAAACCAACATACAAATCTTGCTCTGCAAACCTCCGACCTGTAAATAATTAAAACACAACTTCATAAAACTTAATACAATATAAAAATGAATACAGGTACCCATTCATAAGTATTTGTAAACAAACACCTGTATATTAATGCTTCATATGAAGTACGAGACTATTAACTGTGGATGGCAACGGTATGATACACAGAATTAACAATGAAATAAGAACACACTTTGAAGGGTGCTAATATAGTACGTATATAGTCTACTGAGCTGGAGTTAGTCTACTGGGATATTTACACTGTATTGTCCATTAACTTAAGCTAGGTTAGGCAGTACAGCATTAAGCCTTGCCAGGGGCAAAGAATATTTCTGAACCGGTCTCAACATGACTGCCACCCCTGGAGCACAGGTTGTCTGAGGTTGAGTAAAGAATCTTAAATATCTGGTTTATTTAGATATAAGTTGAAGGAGTTATATTAATAAAATATGTTTTGTTTTTCCTCACAGACCCTCGCATGTATACACAGTTACACCAGCCTCACAGACCCTCACACCACCCTAATGCCATATACACCAGATTCTCATCCTCACACCCACCTAACACCCTCACACCAGCCTCACACCTACCTAACACCCTCACACCAGCCTCACATCTACCTAACACCCTCACACCAGCCTCACATCTACCTAACACCCTCACACCAGCCTCACACCCACCTAACTACCTAACACCCTCACACCAGCACCCACTACCCCACACACCTAACACCCCTCACACCAGCCTCAATCACCCAACACCCTCACACCTAACACCCTCACATCCTACCCTACACACCCTCCACATCTACCCCAACCACCTACACACTCCTAACACCTCACCACACCTCACATCTACCCTAACACCTCACACCAGCCTACTCTACCACTGCCCACCCACTTCACATCAACCTGCACCTCCACACCAGCCTGGCATCACACACCCCACACCAGCCTCACATCACCCCACACCCACACCAGCCTCACACCCACACACCCCACTAACACCCTCCACACATCCTCCCCACCCCCCCACACCAGCCTCCATCATCTACCCACCACACCCCACACCACCCACCTCCTAACACCCTCACACCAGCCTCACATCTACCTAACACCGTCACACCTACCTAACACCAGCCTCACACCTACCTAACACCCTCACACCAGCCTCACATCTACCTAACACCCTCACATCTACCTAACACCCTCACACCCATCTAACACTGTTTTTTCCTTTTATGTTTTAGACCTAATGGTAAATATGTACAGTATATATATTTTTGGGTAAGATTGTGTGTGCATGTAACCGAGTAAAAAAAAATGAAGAAAATTATGTAAATCTCCCCGAAATTACGAGTTGAAAAATAACTATGAGAGAGCATATAGCACACAGCTTGGCCTGGTAGGGAGGAGCCTAGGGGTATGTAGCTCCAGTGATGAATCTAATTTGGCAAAAATGCAACGATCAATGTAAATAGACAAAAATCTCCTTGGTATCAAGTTTTGTAGATTTAAAGCAGCATATAGTATACAGTAAACCCTTGTTATTCACGGGGCTATGTTTCAAGGAATGGCGCAAAAAGGGAAAACTGCGAATAGCAACTTATATTACCTTAGTGCACAAGACCAGCAGCGGCAGCACTCATCCCCTCTTTTAACTTATCTAATAATTAAAAATTCTTTGTCAGAGTCATAACTGACTTCTGCCTTTTACATTTCACTCCACTAGCACTGACACTAGGCAGTGTTTTAGGGGCCATTTCACACAGAAGCACTAAAGTTTTGTGAGTACAACACGAGATGCTGGGTCACAGGCAATGATTGAGTGCGAACAGAGGGAGCATGGGGTGACTCGTTGCACTGCTGGAAAAGGCTTGCAAGTTACCCACCATTGCCGCCATCTGCTTACTGCGAATCGTCGAAATCACAAATCGCAAACCTACGAATGACAAGGGTCTACTGTAGTAACTGAGGTACTGTTCTTCATGCAGCAACATAAAGAAAAAAGCTTACTGGTAAGGTTAACCTTCCACAAGCATGTGCAGGGCAGCTATCATTCACCGTAAATGACCCACGGAAATTCATGAATTCTAATCCTTCTAAAATAATACTTGTACAGTATATAATTCGACCCCTACTTTTTGCATAAAAATTTGATAAAAAAATTCACATTATAATGTGTGCAACCCATTTTTAACCTTGAGCTGTACATTATAGGACTTGAGGTACAGTATATCTTTTAGAGGTCACTTGCTCAAACCCCTTATTTCTCCATTAGACCTAGCCCTTGCCGAGCAGGCAAACCCGCAGTTAGTGAGACATTACTTTACAGAATACATAGAGTACGTATCCTTTATGTAATTTCAGCAAGTTTTATCATGTAAAAACCAAAGATTTTACACAGTCAACATCTACAGAATACAGGTACAGTCCCCTTCACTAGTGCACTTACAGGGGCTCATCATATAAACATTTCACAAAATATATCTTTGAGATACTAGTTTTAATATTGTTTTAATTTGATTCTATAATATGTTTACTATTACGAGTTTCCTTCTGTCGAATGTAAACAACACGGCTGCCACACTCCACAAAACCTGAAAAGCCCCTGTAAACTCACTTGCTGTAATTTTGTGCAATACAGTAAATATACATACCTGGGCACATCCGAGTGCCAATACTGAATGGATTGAGAATGTAGGGGTCAATTTTGGCAGTCTTGGATGAATCTCGTAACCAACGTTCTGGACATAATGTATCTGGATCTTTGAAGTAATGGTTACTCCGTAACCAAATGTATGCATTTAAATCAACACAGGTCTGAAAAATGATGAGTGTTTACGATGATTACTGTGGCGTATGTATGAAAAAAATAAAAAAAATAAATAAAAAAATAGTATTTCAGATAAGTATTCATGATACAACTTAAGTTATGAGGAAGCTTTTAACATATGAACCCTTCAGATTCTGGAGTAGGGCCAGTGTAAAGCCCCAAGTAGAGTCCCTACAGTATTATGTAGGGACTCTAGACCCAAGTGCCCTGTGGTTGACACATACAGCCTCTTCTTGTCCCAAAGGTATTAGTATACTATACACCATTATCTGCAGTGATATCCCCATTAGCCGGAACAATTGGTGCAGATCACGTCCAGGAATGAGAGATTTCCGGGGAATGAGACAACTCATTAAAGCAGGAAAAAAAATCCCCTAACTCCTAGAATTTTCCAGGTAACGGAAAAATTTTCTCGGAAGTTCCAGAAATTGCCCTTTACATCATCTCTCAAACCAGGAAAAATATCTCTCATCCCCAGAATTTTCCAGGTATGGGAAAAAATTTCTCGTAATTTTCTGGAAAATTCCGGCTTTGGAAACGATTTTCCGAGAAAAATTTAATTTCAGCTATCGGAGATTTCCGGATTTGAGGGATTCCGGTTAACGGAAATATTACTCTATGTGGATCAAATACAGAGGCCTGCCAGAATTTCAAAACTGAAGTACAGTATCTAGTACCGGTAATCCACAAAAGGGAGACACCCCTCTTATCTCTTCTCCAGTTGTTACTAATATGGGGAGCAGGCATGCTAACATATAACAATGCACTAAAGAGTTTATCACAGCATTTCAATGGTCGCCCAATAGAGGTGGCCACTCCAAGGGAAGGAGGCCACTGGCTTCATAGGATCCCTCCACTGTTCTTCATAATTTTATCTAGGATTATTTTGAAGCCCAGTACATTGTTTGTGATTTCACAGCTTGGGCTGGGAGACCATTCCATAAGTCTACCAGCCTCTGTGTGTAAAAGTATTTCCTCATGTTTGTTCTGCATGATAATTTGGCTAATATTTATGTCTCCTCGTGTTGGTGGTGCTTGACATCACAAAGAAATTGCCCGGGTTCACGTTTTCCATCACCGTTTAGGATTTTGAATGTTTCAATTAGATCTGCCCTACTGTGCCTTGCCTGGAGGATTATTAGTCCTAAGGTTCTCGTCTACTTGGATAATCGAGATGACAGTTCTGAAATCATCTTAGTTGTTGTGTTGCACCTATTTTAGAGATGTTATGTCTTTCTGGAGATAGTTTCCATGCCTGTATACAGTACTGTACTCCAGACTGGGACATACTTGAGATTTGTACAGTTGAAGGAGCACTTTCTTACCTTTGTATTTGAAGGTACGCTTTATAATTCCCAAATCTCGATTCCGCTGCCACCCCCACCTGTTGCGCCACCTTCAGTAAATGATCTATCACAACACCACACTCTTTTTCCTTCTTGACAGTATCCAGGAAAATGTTATGATGGAAAAACCTTGATAACTCGGCATCTATGGTGTTCTGGCCTTGTTGAATTATACCAAAATTCCAACTGATCAAGGCAATTCCCCGCTCCTACAATAAGACATTATCGGCCCATATACTGTATGTGTACAATACATATAATTACTAATTTTCAAAAATGAGCACTTATCAGCACTGCAAGCTAATAATGGCTTACAATGAAGAAGCATCGTAATAGGCAACAGAGGCATGGTAGGTGACAGATGGTGGAGGTGATGGAAGGGGGATGTTTCGTAAACAGTAAAGCACTTATGTGTCGAGTCGTACATGTATAAATTCAGCGAGTGATTGGCTAAATTTATACACATACGACTCGACACAAGACAAATTAAACTAAGTATTCTGAGATTTTCAGAGAATATTTTGTAACTTTTTTCAAGTTATTTTGAATTTTTTTACAGGGAATAGCCCACCTGGGCACAGATCAACGACCCACAACAGGGCCTAGGTTTTACTGTAATTGTGATAAGTGTTGTTGTATCCTACATGTAGGGTCTTGCATTTCGTAATGTTAACCCATAAATGGTAAATTAATTTAAAGCAAGTCGTGCCCAGATGGTCAAAGATTTTCCAAATTCTTTTTGTTGGTTAAAATAACCCCAAAGGACCCCCAAAGTCACGTGGTAATGGTGAAAATCACAGCTATAAGCTCCTTACCTGGCTTAAAGGTCCCAGGCAATTGTGTGTTGCTATGCACGCAGTGTCATTCAGAGGAGCCAGCATGTTTGCTACCACTTCCTATGTTATTTACTTATCATTATAACACTACATACATTGGAGGCACAAAGTTGCATGTCAGATAGCATCCTGAAAGATTTCACCGGGTTGGCGTTCCTGAGCGTTTTACCTTATTCCAAGGATTTCCTGAATAAGAGTCAAATTTTGTTTACCAAATCCTTTATCACCTTGGTCTTTGCTCTGTCCAATCCAGGGGGTTTAAATTCCTTCAAGCTGGCTATTTTCCTTTTGATGACATCTTCTGCAATTGCTATCTCTCTTAATTCATTTTCCACCCATGAGATATATCGTACATTCTCCAAGGTACTGTACAGTACTGGCATGTTATCCACCATTGCTTATGTGAATACTGATGCAAAGGGGTCACAGCTCAAGATTGAAGAAGCCTTAAGTCCAGAAAACTGTGAGGGCAAACTTTTTCGGAGTGAGAGTTGTGAACTCTTAGAACAGTCTACCAGAAAGTGTTGTGATGGCACTGAGTGTGAGCTGTTTCAAGACCAGACTTGACCAACACTGAAGCAGGTTCAGGTACATTCAGGAGCCGGTGCATGCCCAGTACTTGCCAACAGTGTGTAACAGAGACGTGACCGATCGCCCAAGCGGCTAACGAGCCAATCAGTGGTGAAGAGGATAAAAGAATTAAAGGTATCAGCCATTTGTCTTCATCCTCCAGAGCCACATTGTTTTCATCCTTTAAAGGGCTAACAGTATCCTTGGTTTTCATTTTACTCCTGGTATACATATAAAAGGACTTGAGATATCTCTTAATATTTTGGGCTAGTTTCATCTCAAAGTGCTGATTGGCCACATTTAGGGTTCTTTTACATACTTCATAATCTGCACAATGCCCCGACCTCCAGTATTTCTTCCACAACTGGCCTTTCCGTCTTACAGGCATTTCTAGATCTGTAAGTCATCCACCTGGTCTTGTTCCCTCATTTCCTTGTTTTACGGAGTTTACATTCCTCTACTGTCAACACAAGGATTTTCACGAAGTTCTGCACTGATTCTTCTTTGTCTTGACTCCTTTATAACTATTTTCTCCCAGTTAATTTCCTGTAGGTTGTCCTTCATAATCTGGTAATCTCCATGGTTGGTCATAGCATTCCTGCTCAACTACTTTTTTCTGACTTTCAAAGATTATATTCCACCTTAGTATGCAATGGTTGCTGGTTGGAGTTAATTTTTTCTCGACATGGACCTCATCCAACATAGCCTCTTTGGTCATAAAGACTAGATCTAAAATGTTGCCCCCCTCCCCCCCGATACATTAACTATTTCAGTGGAAGAAGAATTATATGACAAGCTGAAATTTGCACAGAACAAATACAGTACAGTACAGTAAAGTAAAGTATACACTTACACTTGGAAGTTATATAATCAATTAGATAATGTCTGCTCATATTTGCTTCCAATTACAATTCATTACTATATATTAAAACAGAAAATAAAATTCATGTAAATTAAAGTTTGAGATGAGGAGTTGTGATCATGTGGTAAAGGTTAAAAAGTCCACAGGCAACTATGGTACTGTAATGTTTTCTGTGTTTCAAAGGCTACGGTACCAGAACATACAAAATTCTTTAACACTTACACCAGCAGGTACATGATAGCCACTGAGAACCAGATCTTTCTGAAGGATACGCTGGACAGCTTCACCTATAGGATAAAACCTGAAAAGAAACAAAGGATTGGTTCTGAAATACCATTAGATTACTGAGTCCGGACTAAGTCTGTGGGGTAAATACCCAGGGAAACCCTTAGACTGCAACAGATAGGAATAATCCCTTTAATGATCATGCTGTACATCTCTATAGTATCATCATCATTGTTTTATTAAATGTCTTACATGTATTATTTATTGAAAAGGTATATTTAAGTTTATTTATGGATTCAATAAGCTTGTGTGAAGGCTTGGGAACCTAACCACTATTTATACATTTTGTCTATCAGAATCAGAAATTGAGTTTTGAATTCTGAACGAATGATTTAAATTTTTTGGGGGGAACATCCCATTTGAAAGCCTGGGACTTCCTATACATGTATCTCATTTTTGTGATTCTACAAATTCTTATTGCCTTTTTTCTGAAGTATTTCTTTACCATGAACTTTTACTTCTTCAATGCTGCTTACAGCATTAAATATTTTGAATAGACATTACAGGTTGACAATCTCTTATCCGAAATCCTTGGGACCAGAGGCATTTTGGATTTCAGAATTTTTCGGTTTTCAGAATGGTTAGTGCCCATCCAGGGCACAACATAATAATAATAATAATAATAATAATAATAATAATAATAATAATAATAATAATAATAATAATAATAATAATAATAATAATAATAATAATAATAATGTCAACCCTCGCTTTACGCGTTTCCACGTTTACGCGGTACCCTGCCGAAACCGGAATGCTCACTTTCCGCAGTGTGTGTACCCTTTTACGTGGAGAGCAGCACGAGCAGGGTGCGCACAAGGTCGCCCAGTCATCAAAACATTACCGAGTTCTTCACCCGCCACAGCCGGCCCAAGTCAGTTGATAGTGATAATGATAGTGAGGATATGGACTTATATGGACTTTGAGGGGTTTGACTAAGAGGCCCTGCTAGCCTCTGTGGTGGATAGAGATACAAGTGAGGGCCAATAATCTGCCCTCTGCCTCGGAACCAACCCCCCATCCCCGTGTGCCCAGCCATCTTTTCTACTAATGTAAGTGTTAAAAAACCTAATATTATTGATATTTCTCTTAATTATTAATTGTGTGTGCATACCATCATAAAATTAAGAAGTTATTTTTACTACAACGTAGGTATTGTGTCTGAAAAAGTGGAGTTTGGGGGTCGGCCCGGTCTCTATTTCAATTAATTCCATATGTTATGTTGTTCACTTTACGCGGACCGCCGTGGGTTGAATTAATCGCGTAAAGTGAGGGTTCACTGTAATAATAATTCATAGGTCTAGGTCGTGTTACTCACTTTTTATCTTTTTTCATTCTTGCATTTCTTTATTATTATTTTATTAATACAGTGTTATTATCATTATTATTTTATTTTGGTGTATTTTTTAATTAAAATTTTTATTTACTATGAATAATTATTATTATAATTAGTATTACTATTACATTTTCACTCCCCAGGCCCCGATGTGGGTCAGTAATCTATGCCTGGGTGGGCTAATCCCCGCTAAAAAAAAAAAAAAAAAATCTGAATTTCGGATAAAGGGTTGTCAACCTGTATATAAAGTTGGATACAGGAAGCAGCATTCTCTAATTTCATGACTAATATTTAACTAACTACTGCAGTAAGATTGTTACACCTACAATCGAGCTTCTCTATTATTAACCCCTAAACTGCTATAATTGTCAATTGAAAATGCATGTTTCAATGCTATTGTTCTCAATTGATGTTTTATCATTTCACCACGAATCATCTTCCTAGTTGTTTGAGCAGTTGGTTTGTTCATGTTACAAACTTTATTCTTCATTGTTAATGCAACAAGTACCTTGAGAAAACCCGCTTTAATGCTGTATCACCACGATTTAATTTTGCTTGGTTTGATGTTACCTTGGGTAACATGCTGTAATCAGTTGCATAGCCCCGAGCGGGTATCTTCTTCCCCCCTCAGTTAGCACTTTGCTTTGCTTAATGAAAGACATAACCATCAACCTCTTGAGGTGGAGGTACTAAGCATAAATCACCCCACATATCTTACACCATCAAAAATAACAGGAAATCTTAGATGACCACAAGGAATACAGTGATATGGAAGAGATAAGCTCTATTATTACTGGAATAATGCCTTTAGATAAAGTAGACAGGGTCGTGTACCTGCACATTTTAAACTTACCTGAATACTTCTTTGATAAAGGCTTTTAGGTAATGTAACTTGTTGACCACATGTACTGTGAGAGAAACATCTGGGTTGACATGTGTCTTAATCTCTTGGTACAGTCGCTCCTGGACATCTGGATTCAATGCCAAACAATAGAGATTGGCCAGAAGTGTTGGGGCAGTCTACGTAAGAGAAAATAATGTGTAAAACTTTCTCAAATTAGTGCTCCCGTAAGTTACTAGAATCTAGTTTTTCAGTGACAGCTCTATCAAATATTTTATGGAGCTTCATGGCAGGATTGACAACTTATACAGAGTACAGTACTGTATTTGCTTTACACCCAATTAATTCTGAGATTGCCCCACTTTCTAAAAAGATATTATTGTAAATGTTTCCGATTTAAAAAATTAAATCAACCGACTCAATTTTCATTTAAAATATTATTATTTTTTGCATACAACTGTGGTACCTATTTTATCATGTACAGTCTCACTCAAGATTCTTCAAACACTGCTGGAGACAGCAATGGGGAACTAAGTAACCAATCACCGATCACTTTTACATTCATCCATAATATTTACCAAGTACAATAGCAAACAAACGGCCTTGAGTTGCCAGCTGTCTCTAGAAATGTTCGAAGAATCTTGAACGAGACTCTACCATCAAGATCTAGCCATACCTGTACATCTTCATGAAGAACTTACAGTAGAAAGAGCATTAAAGAAGACTGACAAGCAGATGGTGACAACATCCTTCTCTGATATATCCTCAAGAGACATGAGGTAAGCGAGGAACTTGAACTGTCCATCCTTCAGTTTCTTCTCTGCCACAAGTGACTTTATCTCATCCATGGTCTCAAAGATGTTCTTCAAGGATTCTCTACAACAGATTTGATAAAAGAAAGGTGGATATATGCATGCGTGTGTAATTTATTCACAAAAGTCTTTCTCCTGGTGATTCAGTGGTCCAGCTGTTGTAAATTTCCTACTTCGCACTCAACAGGTTGCAGGTTACCGCACACTCTTAGCATGATGCTCCACCAGGCCCACCGGGAGCTGGCCAGGGCCCCGGAGAAAGACAACTGTATGGGCCCCCTTTACAGATATATTCAATATTTATACTGTACTACTCCCCACTTCCCAGTCATCGGAGAATTATCCCGGCTCATTTATTGCCAATTTAATTTTCATATCAAACTTTGATAAAACCTATATGGATAAGCAATGAGACTTTTCTACATCCATACATTTTACTAATATTGTATAATTTGCACAAGGAAAACAGGAATTGTTTCAGAGATGCTGTCAACCTAATTGCGTCTGTCTTACCCGTAGAAAAAATCTTGAGCTTTATGAAGTTTGTTACTCTTTCGGGTTCTGAAGAACTGATGCAATTGGAGAGAAAACTTGCGCTCCCCTGCCAACTGAAAGACACAAACTATAGTTTTTATTTCAAATGCAATACATGCACTGAGAGTATTAAATACTTGGGGAAAGAAGATGGAAGCATAAAATATTTTTGTATTCACTTTGTGGACTCTTTGAATAACTTACCAAAGAGTGTTGTGATTCCATCGAGTGTGACTTCATTTAAGACCAGACTTGACCAACACTGGCGTTGGTAATCAGACATTCTGTTCTGAAGCCAGCGCAGTGCATGCCCAGTGAGTAGGATAACAAATTACAGGATAACATGAAGTAGATGAGAATTACATTTATAAAATTTACAAGTACTGTACAATGAGTTAGTTATTAGAATATGTACCAATAAATAGAAAAGATGTAATATTGTACCTTAAATATCTCGATATCCGCTTGCACCATCTTCTGTGCTAAATCCTCTTTATCACCTCCACTGAAGCAACCAAGAGATTTTTCAAGGCAACATTTTGTTGCAGCTGAGTAAAAAAAAAATTAACATTCAGGTAAAAGAAATTATGCAGTAATTATCAGAGGTACAAAAAGAAAAGTGCAACAGGAACAACACTAATAGTTATAGATTAAGTAATCCATAGGCTGCAGCCCCTGATGTAAGGAGGAATAATATCTATAGTATACATGTGGTCTTTGTTATACTTTATGATTATAAGTTGTATAATACAGTAAACCCTCGATAGCTCATCATTTGATAACTCGAAATTTCATATAACTCGGCATGGACATGGTCTCGGAGTGTATTAATATAACTCGGGAAGTGCCGAGATATATAAAAGTATCTGGGAAAATCTTGGCATATCTGACCACTTGCATCACCTATCATGCCTCTGTGTCACCTACCATGATACTTCATTCTTCGCCTGCAGTACTGGTAAGTGTTACTCTTTTGCATTTAGTAATTACATGTACACATATATGGGTCGATATATTTTTTATTGTTGTATTTTTATAGGAGGGAGGAAGTGCCTCTATAAGTCGGAATTTAGGATACCGGTAACCCAGCAAGGCCAGAGCCCCATATGAGTTGAGTTATAGAGGGTTTACTTTACACCGAACTGAATATCTGAGTGATTCTGTGCACTGTAAAATTTTCTTTTTTAGTTTATTGAAACAAAGCTACTTTTAAAAATGAAGTAAGCATTGACCTAGTCCCCATTGCTTATTACATGAGCTGCTGTGACTAACCAAGAAATCACAGCATCTGACTGACTGATTTTTCACTAACCAGAGAGAAAATGAAAATTATCATGCAGGTACAGATTCTATTCCCATTTCACTTAATACTGCACTAAGCAAGATTAAAATGATTCATTCATTGAAAGAAAACTTTAAAATTAATTATATTCTTTCATCCCAAATTCATAGAACAGTTACTTAAACATACATGATTATACAAGTAAATTATACGTATGAAAGGAAACCAGTATTCGACTGTCAATACCAGTCCCTCTTGTTTGTTACTTATACTAAATTATGATCATAAACAAATCAAACAAATAAAAGGCAATGTAAACTTAATATTACCCCTTAAAATGGAGGTGTATACTCCTGCCTTCACTAACTTGTAACATCATGGACTTTGATCAAATGTCATCATATGAGAGTGATATTTTTACATTCACTATGACATGGGATATGTAAATATTTATAGTTGGATGTATTAACTGATGCCTTCCTTTATATAAATTATGATACAACTACAAACATAAAATTACTTACATTCAAGAATCCATTTTCCAATAAATAAGTGTAGCTTAGAGCTATATTCTTGATTCACCTCCTGTAGTTTCTCAACAGCTGTTTTGGCTACACTATCCTGAAGAGCAAAGTAATAACTGGTCTCTTTAGGTCGGAGCATCGCCGGTTGCACAGCACGTCGCAGTTGGTACCACTCTTCACCGTTACTGTAACATACATTAGACAAACATAAATGTATTCTGTTAAAAGAGAAATTTACAAACAAGTTATGTTTTTATTAAATGTCTTGGATATTAATATACATAATTCTAATTATCCATTTACCTATAGTACAGTATATTAAAAGCATTTTTTTTTCTGTACAAAATATGGTAGCTTATGGAAAATCTTCTCTGAACATTGTTCAGTGTTGATTATATATATATATATATATATATATATATATATATATATATATATATATATATATATATATATATATATACACACATATATATAAACATATATATATACGGATATATATACGGATATATATACGGATATATATATACGGATATATATATACGGATATATATATATGGATATATATATACGGATATATATATACGGATATATATACGGATATATATACGGATATATATACGGATATATATATACGGATATATATATACGGATATATATATACGGATATATATATACGTATATATATTCGTATATATTATTATTATTTTTTTTTTTACGGGCATTAGCCCCCAGGTCACTGACCCACATCAGGGCCGGGGTGAAAATAACACTAATAAAATTAATAAAATAAAATAAAATTATAATAAAAAGTAAATATAAAAATCATTCATACTAATAATAATAATAATAAAGAACCATAAATTAAAAAAAAAAGAAGGAAAAGAATGAGAAACGATATATGTGTTGTGTTGTCAAAGTGAGAGAAACAATTGAGACCCTGCAATTGTGTGTAAATGAGGCAGAAAGTCAGATGAGCAACCTGGGACTTGGTCACATTTTTTGTCATGTCATATGGCAGCAGGGTCTACCATTAGACAACACATTATGCTTCCAATATCTTCCCAGGCAGTAGTACCTCCCTGTTTGGTAGCTGCCACTACCTACTATCTGAGAAATACTGCCTTAACCTCCTAGAATAATATAAGTAGCACAAGGTAAGAAGGATATTTGTATACTAATGTAGCACATCCAGCAATCTATATATGATTCATAAATTAAATTAGATACATAAAGTAAGAGGTTTAAACTCAAGCCGAATATCAAAAGAAAATATCAATAATAAACATATAAAACCTCTTCTCATTTAACAATAACTAGTGTAGATTGACAATTACTACTCATGATGACCCTAGCAAGGTCTGGTCTCTGAAACTACTCACCCATTTCAGATGGCGACTCTCAGCTAAAGAGATTTAATAGAAAAATACCTAACAAAGAAAAATAACCATACACTGTGAGTAAATATTAATACAGTCAGTTCTGCTATAACGCGATAGTTGTGTTGTTGTAAAATATCGTGTTATAGAAATTCGCGAAATAGAAATAACAGGGTTTCTGGAGAAAATAGGGTTAGGTGCAGATTACTCGAAATCAAAAAAATTTCGTAGTTAGCCTAACACAAAGGATAGCACAGTCTAAATAAATGTTACAATCATATCTAATAATGAAATCATACAGTAAATGTTACACTTTACCTTGAAAAAATATGAATATAACTTGATGGGGGAGAAGGGTGATGTTGAGGAGTCATGCAGACAGGATTTGACAGTTTTCATCGTCATCATCAGGTGCAGTTTTTCTTTAGGTCCTCATATATTGATAAGGCTTTCTCTTTAATGGTGAGGAAGCTGGTCCCAGATCGCTTTTTCGTTTGATCTTTTATCCAAACACTTAGAAGCCATTCCATCTCCTCAAGTTCCTTTGGCCGTGATCTCACACTTTTGCTAGCACTCAAGGTTTTCCAGCAATACAGTTTGCTTTAATCTTTGCCGCATTGTCTCTAATGGTGCGTTAAGTAGATTCCTTTACTCCCGTTGCACGCACAATATCACATGTTCTTTCCTTATTTTCAAAATGATTGACAACATCAAGCTTTTCTTCAAGTGTTATAGCCTTTCTTTTACGATCACCACCGGAAATGCCATCACCAGAATGCTTCCCGGAGATATTCTTCTTTTCCATCGTCACAAAATTGGAGAAACAGTAATCAGAAATCACTGAGGACGCTTAAAAACTTCACACGTGTTTCAGACTGATCGTGTGGTGTAAACAGAGCGCGCGGGTCTAAAACGCTACGTATTTTGTTTTTCTCTCTTATTTAAAATTTTACAATTTACATATACTGTACAGGTATACTGTATACATATATATTACATAAATTATTTCTGCAATTCTTCACAAACAAAACACATAAATCAATTGAACATGTGATGTCGAACGTGAACAGTAAACATTGCATAACCCCGCGCCAAGCCACAACAACCGTTCGAGTGGAATCGCGTTAGAGCAAACGCGTTCGCGTTTTACAAATATTGTTCCTCTATTCATCAATCGCGTTAGAGCCAATTCGCGTTGTCAAAACACGCGTTATAGCAAAACTCACTGTACTATGTAAATATACTACAACTATAACTAATAATAAACTGTGCCAACATATACACCTATTTTATATTATAAAGAGTCTTAAAATATACACTTCATTAAAGTATTTGTAATATTGGTCAAACACTTTGAGTAGTACAAGGTGGTGAAATGTGGGTGTCAGATTCCTAGGTTTTCGGTCATGAAATGGCTGGTTGGGACCAGTGTGACGAACAGTGGCAAAGGGGATAAAAGTAAAAAAGTATTACCTTACTTATGGCATTGCCACACAGGCTAACCAGTGAAATGAATGGCATTGCTATACAAGGTATCTTGAGAGGATACATGACTTTACTTTTGAGTAAGATATATCCCTTACTCACAGGTATCCTAGCCCAAGAGACATATTCTTGTGCTGGCGATAAGACAGCGTTGTGTCTTGTAGTGGTGTTACGTAGGGAGTTCTCCCATCACTCTCATATATAGCACGAATATCAGCTGGATCAAATACATGAATTACAGTTCGTGAGCCAAAATTTTCCCTAACAAGTGGTCCATATTTGTGGTAAAGCTTGCAGACCTCTTCATGGTAAGTCAGTGACTTCTTCAGTCCTGAAAAAAATAATAAATAAACTTTAATTAGTCTTGCTCAAGACAAACACTCGTATATTTTCTACTCTTCCTTTAATAAATTAGTCACACTAAGGTTAACCACATACAGTAAATACTCCAAAACACGTTGTAATGATCACAGTCGTACATGTCAGTTAACGTAAAAGCAGGCGATTCATATTAGTCTCAATAGCCCATAAAACATGTAGCTACCGGGAGACCGGGAGCTGCATACCAGCTGGCTGTCTTGCAGGATGTCGTTAATTTGGCACGATTAAATTGTGCGAGCCCACGGAATGAACTCCTTCGCCGTGCGTTGGACTGCAACCGACCTAACAGCGCTCTTTGTTTGTTGTGGTGACACCAGTGTGACACCCTGGTACACTCCTCACAGTTATATGGGCCAAAGTATTATTGTTCTACAGTATAGGATTGGGGATAACTAGCAGAAATATAGTTGTCCCATGTTGATATTACCAGTAATAGCGTTTGTTATGTGGGTTGCGAGTACATCATTCATATGTACTACCAACTGAGTTCTAGTAAAAGTGCCATGTTGTTCGTTCCGAAATAACATGATGTTATAAATATGTTAAATTGGGATATTGTCAAGTGTGTCATAGAACCATCTGGATTGACAACGAAATTAAATAATGATTGTTTAATGTTGTAACCAAGAATTAAAGATCTATCTTGCTACTTGTAAAAGTAAGACCTAAGGGTCCAGTCCTATCTGAGAGTGTAAAATAACCATCTTATTTGTCACAGAAATAATATAACAGTTGTTTGGTGATGTAACAAGTAATTGAAGATCTATTTTATGAATTGTACAGTAAGACCTTAGGGTTTAGTCTTAGCTGAGTGTGTTAAATTGACATCTTATCCACTCTTAATCTAAGAAATATTGAATTAGTAAACTACGAGTATCACCGCTCTATTCCTTCTAATCGTTGGTTCTCAGAAAATAACTATTGTAACTCACATACCTAGAAGCTCGCTAGCACGCGACCTAACAGTTCAATGAGGTATGTTATACTTTTATCCTCTTCGCCACTGATCGGCTCGCTAGCCGCCCGGGCGATCGGTCACGTCTCTTTCACGCACTGTTGGCAAATACTGGGCATGCACCGGCTCCTGAATGTACCTGAACCCGCTCCAGTGTTGGTCAAGTCTTCTCTTGAAAGAGCTCACACTCGGTGCCGTCACAACACTCTCTGGTAGATTGTTCCAAGAGTTTACAACCCTCACTCCGAAAAAGTTTGCCCTCACGGTTTTCTGGACTTGCGGCTTCTTCAATCTTGAGCTGTGATCCCTTGTGGGGCGAGCGTCCGCCAGCTCCAAGTAAGGACACTCAACTGAGTGGTGCCCCCTGAGATGCTTATAAACCTCAACTAGGTCCCCCCTTGCCCGTCTGTAGTATAAGCTAGGCAAGTTCAGGCGCTCCAATCTCTCAGGGTAGCTGAGGTGCCGAAGTGCAGGCACCAGTTTGGTGGCCCTCCTTTGAACATTTTCAACCAACTGACAGTCCCTAGCATATCTCGGGGACCAGATGGGGTGACAGTACTCCAGATGGGGAAGCACTTCACTCCTGAAGATCGTCACGAGGGACGGACCGTCTAGATATCTGAACGACCTTCTTATAAGACCCAATAATTTATTTGCCTGATTTACCTTCTTCTCACAATGGCCCGAGAACTTCAGCTCATTGTCAACATACACACCTAGGTCCTTCTCACACACAGTCTCAACTAGTACATTTTCTTCATCCCGTTGGGACATATGGTACGCCTCCTTACCGTTGGTACGCCCCAGGTGCATCCTCTTACACTTCGTGACATTGAATCTCAGCAGCCATTCCTTCGACCATTCCTGGAGCCCACAGAGGTCCTTCTGCAGCTCTTCACAGTCCGCTTGGTTCTTAATTTCCCGAAATAACTTGGCGTCATCGGCAAACATTTGTATGGAGGAGTGTACAACGTCAGGCATATCATTTATGAAACAAACAAACAACAGCGGGCCCAATACACTACCCTGCGGTACCCCACTTGTTACAGGTACAGATGACGATTTCATGCCATTAATCACCACACATTGCTTGCGGTCATGTAGAAAGTCTTCTATCCACGCTAGGACATTTCCCCGAATTCCGTACCCTTCCAGTTTGATTTTCAGCCTTTCGTGGGGTACACTGTCGAAAGCCTTGGCAAAATCTAGGTAAATATTGTCGATATTACCACCCCGTTCTAGAATATGGGTCCAAATATCCAATACCTTGAGCAATTGTGTCAAGCAAGAGCGCCCCGGCATAAAACCGTGTTGGCAATCTTTTACAAGGTTGTTTCGTAGTAGATGTTCCATCGCTGCATCTCTGATAATACTCTCAAGTACTTTACATATTATGCTGGTCAGGCTCACCGGTCTATAGTTGTTCGTGGAGTGACTATCGCCCTTCTTGAAGATAGGACTCACATAAGCCACTTTCCATTCACTGGGGACCATTTGTTCATCCAGGCATTTACAAAACAGAATCTTCAGGGGCTCTGCAAGCTCGTTGCACAGCTCCCTTAGCACTCTAGGATGCACCATGTCAGGTCCAGGACTCTTATGGACCTTTAGCCTGGACAGTTTATTTCTAATACCCTCTTCTGTGAACACAATGTGGGTCAGTGCTGTGTCGAACCATCTGTCCTCAAACGCAGGAAGGTTAGTTGCATCCTCTCTTGTGAACACTGAGGAAAAGAAGCTGTTCAATGCCTCAGCTTTATCCTGGTCAGAATCTGCGTAACTACCATCTTCAAGCCTCAGGTCTGATACTCCTACTCGCGTTTTCAATTTCGACTTTGCATAGCGGTAAAACGCCTTTGGGTTTGACTTGACCTCGCGTGCAACCAGCCTTTGGAACTCCTTTTCAGCCCTCCTACACTCTATCTTTGCTTGGTTTCTGGCTCTTGCATACATCCTCCTGTCTTGCTCATCGTTTGACCCAACCCACGTCTTGAATTTCTGGGTTTTCTTCTTAATTTTGTCGACCGCCGCATGGTTCATGTGTAGGGATCCCCTCGTATTCCTAGAAGCACTGGGTTTGGTCTTGGGTATATATTTATCGATCAAATGGGTCATTTTACTAGTTATGATATTCAGCGTAGTGTCTGCGTTCTTGTACCTTAATAAGTCAGGCCAGTTGATACCCCTCATCTCTTCCCTCATCCCATTGTAATTTCCCTTGTAATATTTGCACCTTGGCCTGGCCTTATCTTGAACTAGGTAACAGTTAAATCTGAATGACAACACTGTATGGTGACTGGTGCCAACTGGGGCAAGGTGTTCCAGTTTGGCCACCATACCCTCCTCGTTTGTTATGATGAGGTCAAGTGGCTTGGGTGTTTGCTCCCCTCTGTAATGTGTCGGGTCTCTCACATGCTGGAACAGAAAATTATCTCTCAGAGTTTCTACAAAAAGAGTAGCAGGATTATTCAAGTCATTCGGGGTGGACTCGTTTCTCCAGTCGATGTCGCCATAGTTAAAGTCCCCCATGATAAGGAGGTGGCTGGGGTTGAGCATCACCGCATTGTTTATTAAGGTTCTTAAGTTCCTTTGATTTAGTGGGCCACAGTTCGGGGATCTGTAGATACACCCGACGATAAGTAAGTCCCCTCCCTTTAATTTAATTTTACACCACTTGGACTCTTCAAAAACATCCTCTCCCTGTACCCTCGCCTGGCTGGCTCTAAGGTCTTGCCTAGCGTAGATAACCACACCCCTCCTGCAGGATTCTTGAGTTAGGTTCGTAAATGAGTCATATCCAGCAATACTGAATTCACATGGTATAGAATATAACTAAGGCATAATAATAAATTGAGAGAAAGAAAAGATATAAAATCTGGAAAATACAATAATATACAGTATATGACAGAAGAATAAAGTATAGAAAAGAATATTAACTTAGAAAATATAAACAAAGAAATATAAGATATTTACTGATAGACAGAAGGACTTGGAAAATAAAATAAAATAAGAATATAAATAAGAATAATAAGAGTAGAAGGAAAAAGGAAATACCAAGCTTGTCCCCCCTTACAACGTTTTATTCCATAGACCTCGTATTAGCACAATATGGTTTCCTTTAGAAGTTTCACATGCCGTTTGAATCACCTTACAGAACAAGCTGCCTCTTCAAGTAACATAAAAGCAATCATTATCCAGATGTCATATCACATGGAATGTTTCTTATCATGTTATAGTATGCCAAGGGCAGATCCAGGAGGGGGGTCCTGGGGTCCGGAAACTCCCTTTCATCAGAAAATTTCAATACTTTTTCTTAAATGCGGTATTGTACTCGGGCATTTTTGTATAGTAAAAAGTAATTACCTCAGAATGTCTCCCAATATCAAGTGCATATGGCTTCAAATGACCTCAAAATGCCCAGGATATTTCAGGGGAGCTTACAACGTCCCTGCCCCCAATTCCCCGCTGGGTGGGCTCACTTTGCTCGCCATGTTCCCCCACCCAAAACTTCTTGCTACCCCCTGGATCCATCCCTGTATCCCACATTACAGTTAAAATTACCTGAACATTTAGGCACATTAAAAGCTCAGTCATTTACCCGAGACAAATTCTTGCTAATTCTAATCAAGATATTTTGAAACCAAGACATTTTAATGCAACTAACGTTTCTTTACTGTTGTGTGTTTGTCACAGCTGCGAGATGACGTATAGTCTGACGTGAGAGGGAGTCTCTGAGGGCAGTGTAGCAGAGCAAAGAACATCCAAATACAGGAGTGTATTGGCTGTCTTAAATAATTTAAAGTAAGAAATTTGAGGAAAGATTAACATATATGTACACACTTGAGGTGCAAATACCAATTAAGAAATCGCTGGAATACCGAAGTTTATGGGAACCGTCAGACCAACTCCTTTCCATTTAACCAACCACTTCTCCAACGAATTTATAACATTTAATCAAACTTTGTGCCTATATTTGTGAGGGCATATTGTTACAGGTACGACTTCTACTACTTACCAAGTTTATATGGCAACAATGTACCGACGACTGGTAGTCTATTGGCCCAGGGATTGAAGAGAAAGGTTTGGCTGCCTGAAGGTGTCTTTCAGATATGCTGCTTTTAACAGTACTACTTTGATACCTCACATTCTGATGTGGCTGAAGAATAAAAGATGCAAAGATTACACACACACAGACACATGGGAAAAAAATAATTTCCATAAAAAAGTCCCTGAGGCAAGACTGGAACTGTGTCGAAGCAGGTCATGTAGCAGTAATAATATTTCTAAACTTTCATGGCCAAGTACACCTGTACAGTATAATAGTTTATGTGTAGTGGCGACTTTATTTAAGACATGAACACACCATGAGTGTTAATGTTCTACACACAGACACTAGCTTTAATTGTATGAAATAGTTTATCTAAATTTATATATTTATGAAAATATACTTAACACAAATAAAGAGGTTCATGCACCTTATTTAGAGACCGCAAGCCCATCACTACCTTCCATCTGTGATGCAGTATACATTGCCACATTTGTCTCATTGTTCAAGTGAGAAAAATCTGAAATTTAAAATGAAGTAAATTGTCTACAATATAGGTAGTCGTAAATTCTTATTTAATAGAACAGCGGACTTGATCTCGTATAAGAAGACCAATCAAACTTTATAACACCTGCAACTGCCTAGCTTATACTATAGACCAGCAAGGGGTGACCAAATTGAAGTTTATAAACATCTTACAGGGCACTAATCAATCGAGTGTCCATACCTGGAGCTGGCGGACACCCACCCCACAAGGGGTCACAGCTCAAGGCTGAAGAAGCCGCAAGTCCAGAAAACTGTGAGGGCTAACTTTTTTGAAGTGAGGGTTGTAAACTCTTGGAACAACCCGCCAGAGAGTGTTGTGACGGCACCGAGTATGAGCTCTTTCAAGACCAGACTTGACCAACACTGGAGCAGGTTCAGGTACATTCAGGGGCCAGTGCATGCCCAGTACTTGCCAACAGTGTGTAACAAAGACGTGGCCACACGCCCAAGCAGCTAACGAGCCGATCAGTGGCGGCGAAGAGGATAAAGGTAAGAGTGGATATTGTAAGGGAGGGGAGGAATAGTTTTATTATTATTATTTATATTTCCTTAACTGATTCATAAATATGTGTAAGAGGTGATCCTTTTTTTTATATCTATCTGTTAGGGTGACAAGAGGGGACAGAAATGTTCTCACAGCAAGGCGTCTCAGCTGGAACTAACCCCTGCCCGTTAGCAGAGCCATACACTGTTGCCAAACCGGTAAGGAACCCGTCCAAAACCCAGCAAAATGATACACAAGTGACAAAGTTGCAAACTGAATACATACAAAATGAGTGAAGGTTCTTTTCAATATGCAACTGATACATACTAAAATTAGATCCATTATGGCAAAATGCTAACACATAAGTGATGTATGGGGGCAATCCTCGTCTAAGGGGCATATTCCTGAAAGTGAGTGGGGGCGCGCCTTATCCGCATGGGTCTCTCGGCGGGTGGAGTGGGTGCTGTTGTGACGTCAGGGGTGGCTTCAGGCGGGACGGTGAGCATTGAGGGGTGGCGGCGATTCATGACCGTCGTTCTTCCGCTGCCGTCCAGGCTGATCAGGCACTGTCTGGGGGCCGGTGACTCCACCACCACCCCCAACCGGTCCCACTGCCCCGAATCCTAGTTCTGGACTCGTACCCGCCCACCTGATACGAATGACAGGAGGTTGTGGGCGGTCAGGTTGAACCTCCGCGAAATGTTCTCACTGGAGCACCCCATCGCGCATTCCCTGTTCTTCAGCAACCTCCCCCAGTGCCTAATGACGTTGTAGTGCTGCCTGGCGGCAGGCACCGAGTCCCTCAGCTGTCGCCCCGTCAAGAGCTGCAGTGGTGTTCAGGTACTGCATCAGGGCCCTCGCGGCCTTGTCCGTGTCTAAGGAACCCCCTGGACCCGTGTTGCCCCTCAATAATCTTTTGGCCGACTTCACTGTGGCCTCGGCCCGGCTGTTGGACTGTGGGTAGTGCGCTGATGACACCCTGGGCATCACACACCAGTCTTTGAAGAATTTTGACATTTCGGCACCCAACCAGTTGGTCCCTCCATCACACGACAAAACCTCAGGGATACCAGACCGTTTGAAAAGCCTCCTGAGGGTGGCGCTTGTAGCGCTATTCGGTAGGTGCTCCACCTCCAGCTATCTCGTGAGCTTGTCTGCATATGTGAGGTACGTGTGTCCGTTCAGCTGGAACAGATTGGTCGCGACCTGCTCGAATGGGTACTCTGGTTGTTGCGTGGGTATCAAGGGCTTTACGGGGTGGGGGTTGTAACGCTCACACTTGAACCTCACAAAACTATTACCCATGTAGAGGTCAACCCCCAATTTTTTGCCTAAAAATTTGGTCTTAAAAACTCGAATTACACACGAGTATATACGGTAAATATTTATGCAAAGATCCTGTGAAGATACATAGAAATGTTAGTAAATATTTCTGCAAAGATCCTCTAATGATTTTGGAAGCTTCAATGATGCATGAGAAAAGCACAAGTTAATCATGTGACAAGAACATTTTACTGGCAGTATCCATGGGTAATTGCTCACCAGCAGTTGTGACACCGAATGATTCTTCCCAAACATTGTGTTGCATCTATCTGCACAGAAACCAATGACTTTTTCATAGGTATACTCTTCTCACTTATTGTAGATAGTGCTAGCTTTACTATCTGGCATTTCAATCAAGTCAATTAAAACATAACTGGTTTTGTATTCCACCTGATCAAAGTATGTTCCAATTGGTGCTGAGATTATGTTGACTGACCAGTGGTCTCATCTGTAATGAGGGAAAATTTGTAATCTCTTGGTTTAAGAATTCCATCTTTAATGACATGAAACCCTAAATCCTGTCGTAGTGTGTTTGTTGCCTTTTTGTTTTCCAAGGGTAACTTTTTTTCAAGGCATCATCAGCAGGGAATAAGCTCTTAAGGAGAGCAAGCAGGTCTTCGCTTGGGCTAATGGGCAAATTATTTTCAGCTAAAAATTTCCATTTTAGCAACCCTACTTGATGAGGACCCCATGAAACTTGAAATATTAGGCTGGGTCTTCTCTAGGTTGATACTTCTTTTAATTTCTGTTTGGTGGGTCTTTGTTTCACCATGTCTTACCCATGCAGTTTTAGCACAAAATAATTGTGATTTACATACTTTGCAATATGGGGTCCAGTGAATTACCCAAAAGTACCCAAATGTACCCAAAAGTACCCAAAAGTATATTAAATCAGGGTAAAATCTTAACGAATATCTGTTATACATGCACAAAACATGTCTAATAATATTTTTAGTGTACTTTTGTAAAAATGATTTGTAAGATGAAATAATTAACAGCAAAAAACTTTCAGTATTGGCGAACGCTAAATTCCAAAGAGTTCGTGAACAAGGGAGATAATTCAGATCCATCGAGATGCACTTCGCTAACCTAACCTAACCTAACGAAAAGTAAATCGTACGGCTATGTTAAATATCCAAAAGTAACAGAAACATCGGTAATTATATCTCCATTTTGGATAGGCGACTCTTTGGAATTTAGCGTTTTTCGCTGTTTATTATTTCATTATTTTGACTACATTTCAATGAAAACATTATTAATCAGGTTTTATATATGTAAAACATATATTCGTTAAGATTTTACCCTGATGTAATATACTTTTGGGTAATTCGTTGGACTGGCTATATGGGACAGTTTTCCCACCATCTTCTTTCATAGTCAACCAATCTTTGAATGACTTATCTTAGAGCCAGGTGTCCCGAAAACCCTGACCATACCGCTTTCTTTTAGCTCCCTTATCAGGGTCCGACTAATTACCCAAATGCAGCCACAATGAAGTCAAATAATGGTCCTACATGAATAAATCGGGTTACTAATGACTTCTCGACTAGTATTTGGTGTCACAAAGTAAAAAAAAAATGGAAAACGTAATTTAATGACAGTTAATAGATCGAGTGCATGTACCGAACCTACCGAGTAACCTAACCTAACCTCGACTAGTATTTGGTGTCATGAAGTCACAAAAAATTGGCAAACTTAATTTAATCTGAGTTAATAGATCAAGTGCATGTACCTAACCTAACCTAACCTAATCTAACCTAACCTAACACAACTCAGATTAAATTAAGTTTACCAATTTTTTGTGATTTTATGACACCAAATAATAATCGAGAAGTGATTCACAGCCCGATTTACGCTTGCACGACCATCATTTGACTTCATTGCGACTACATTTGGGTACATTTGGGTAATTCCTCGCTCCCTCGGTACATGCACGCGACGTATTAACTCAAATTAAAGTAAGTTTTCCAATTTTTTGTGACTTTGTGACACCAAATACTAGTCGAGAAGTGATTGGTAACCCAATTTATTCATGTAGGACCATTATTTGACTTCATTGCGGCTACATTTTGCTACATTTGGGTACATTTGGGTAATTAGTCGGACCGCCCTTATCATCTCCTTTCTAACTCTCTTGGTCAGTATCTGTACTACTTTCAGCTTCCATAACTAACAACTGAATCTGCACTCTGCCTCAAGGAGACCCTTCTGCCTCGTCACCTGTAGCCTAGATATAAAGATATGGGTCTAAGGAGAATTGTACAGCACATTGCACAAAAAGATAACTCATTCAAGTCACAACACATACAGTACCCTACATTCAAAATATAACAATTACAGTTCCTTATTTCTCATCATAAACCACCTACATCTAATTATTATTCGACCTACATAATCCACACATATTCATTATATCATTGATCAACCATGGAAATACAAAATATATTGTCAAAACATAATAACGATAAAATATCTAACTTACATTTTCCCCACCACATTCAAAACAAGACATGGAGCTCGCTTAGCTAATGAGCGGTCCCTTAAACTCGGTTGATCGGACCCATTTTCATTCATTCCAGTGTGGGATACTTAACTAATATTGTTATCTTAGCCACTTCACAAGAGCTGGCAAGTCCAGAAAACTGTGAGGGCAAACTTTTTCGGAGTGAGAGTTGTAAACTCTTGGAACAATCTACCAGAGAGTGTTGTGACGGCACCGGGTGTGAGCTCTTTCAAGACCAGACTTGACCAACACTGGAGCAGGTTCAGGTACATTCAGGAGCCGGTGCATGACCAGTACTTGCCAACAGTACGTGACAGAGACGTGACTGATCGCCCGGGCGGCTAGCGAGCCGATCAGTGGTGAAGAGGGTAAAAGTAAAAGGTTAAAGTAATCAAAAGGAAAAGAGGCAATGGAATTGTACTGTGCAGTTCTCTAAGTAAATAAACCCAGTGTAAATGAAAAAAAATATAGAAAACATCATTTCAATCTCATAAGTGTAAATGTACGTCTAAAGTTTCGAGAATGCTGTTGCAGTGCCCCCACAAAAAAGTTACCGATTTTACACCTCTCAGTGCTGACGGGTATGACAGTATTAAAGTTTTCTGGTTATTTTTTTTTCTGAGTGATAAGCCAAACCCATTAAGTCATTCAGGCTGGTTTGAGTCATTGTGCTACGCAGTTTTTATTTTATTTATAAATTTCAAGATAGAATGAGCGCCACATGAACAAGAGGACACTGGAAGAGTCAGCAGCATCAATTGATACGCCATAGCAACACTTAAGATGATGTTAAGAGTCAAACCTAGCATACACACGCTCGCCTTACCTTATCTGACCGTCTCCAAAGTGTGACTGAGAAAGTCAAACATATAAGTATCAAGCCAAGGTCTTGTACTGTACTTTACACCCACTGTTGCCACATTAATAGCCTAACATTTTACAACATGTTAACATTGTTTCAAGACTTTCGCCTTCGGCTTTGTCTTTGAGATTCTTCAACTACTCGTATATCTTCATGAGTTCAACATACGAACTCGTTTCAGAAATGTACTGGAAAACACCAAAGAAGTTGAATTGAATTGAAACAGTTTATTTAGCCAGAAAAACACAGATACACAGTTGATAATAATAACAATATTAACATGGCTGAGCCAGTTGAGAACCTGAGCTCTCTTTTAGGCACCTGATATATACTATACATTTATCTCAAGGAAGTATGATGTAACATTTAGTATCATCTAGAATAGTACTGTGGGGTATGTTATGTTTGGTTCGAGACTCAAAAATCACGATGTGCTCTCTGTATACATGTTGTATTGGATATACAATGCAGCTTGGTGCTGGGAAGGCAGCATGGTTACAAGCGTGATGTAGAGAGAGCTGGTTGGTGAGGGTGCTCAGAGGAGGACCAGCCTGTGGGTCGCCATGCTCGCCGGCGGGAGCGAGGACCGCCAGGCAGGCGGAGGAGGAGGAGGGGGTGTTGCTGGCTGGTTGGTGTAGGTAGAAAAAGAGAGATCACCACGAGGTCAGGTCTTAAATAGCAGGGGGTAGGCGTGGCTTAGTAGTTGACCCCCGCTCCGTGGGCGGCGCTGGTTGACCTAGAACACGAGGCACACACTGTGGAATTCGTGGGGTCGGCTACTCAGCGACAAACACCGTTTGTAGGGAAGAAATCCACTACAATACTCCCTCCTTCCCTCCAGGCGGTGTAGGAGACTTGTTGTCTGCAGGGTTGCATAGCACATGTGAGGCAGAACGGGCGGTGCGTGCCTCATGTGAGACAACGGCGATGGCGTGGATGAGCCGGTCGCTGGGGACAACTGTCTAGATACACAATATCTGTGGGAGTAGAGAGGGAGAATAAGGGTGTGTGGAGGCGATGAATTTTGTGCTTCCCTCACGGCAGGTACAGAGTCGTCAGATGCGCCTGCTGGGGTGTGTGGGCCTGGGTCAGGAGCAGGGGCTGCGTCAGCAGAAGCGGATGAGGGCTCGTGACAGCAGCTGGGTCCACGACAGCAGCAGGGTGCAGGACATTAGCAGGGAGTACCTGAGGGAGAAAAGAGGGGTGTGTGGGTCCGCACTCAGGAGCAGGGGCCGCGTCAGAAGCGGCAGGGGGTACTGCTGGGCCGGGGTGGCGTCTGAGGCAGGACGGGTGTGTTGGGGTCGGTAGGAGGTGGTGATTGGGGCAGGAATAGGAGCGGCTATCTGCTTAGAGTAGCAGAGCTGCTCTAGGGTGTCTAACCTGCGGTTTAGAGACAGTAGCTGTAGAGCCGATGAGAGTTGCCTCTGGGTGGATAAGCCAGTCTTCCATGTTGCTTGAAGACTGGGAGAGTGATCTGTTTCTCCTCCATCCTGTGTGATTGCGTCACTCCGGGGTCACCATTTGTGGGGTACAGGAGCACTTCCTCGAGGCCCGTCAGTTCACCATCTTCACTGATCACAAGCCCCTCGTCCACGCCTTCGCTTCAGCTTCCCAGTCACATACACCTTGTGTCCTGCGCCACTTGACTTACATCTCGGAGTTCTCCAGCGACGTCCAACACATTAAAGGCAGCCACAACGAGATCGCCGACGCCCTCTCTCGTTGTATATCCAACATTCTTCCCTCATCCCCACCCATTGATTATGGGCAGCTAGCCGCGGCACAAGAGAACGACGAAGACCTGGCAGCATACAAGACATTCCCCTCAGGCCTCACACTCCAAGAACTCCCTGTTCCTGGCACGAAGATAAAATTGTGGTGCAACGTATCCTGAAGGCAGCCTAGACCATTCGTGCCTCATGTCCACCGCCGAGCTGTTTTCGACCGCATCCATGGTCTCAGCCACCCGGGTGTGCGGGCCTCCCAGCGCCTCCTCACGCAACGTGTCGTCTGGCCCGGCATCGTCTGATACTAAGAAATGGGCTGCCCAGTGCCTGGCCTGCCAGTCCTCCAAAATACATCGTCACATACGGGCAACCTTACAAACCTTCCCTATTCCTAAAGGACGTTTTCAAGTAGTACACCTTGACATCGTGGGACCTCTTCCATGATCCTACGGTAGCACCTACATCTTAACCTGCATCGACCGTTTCACCAGGTGGACAGAAGCAATTCCCATGCCCAATGCTACAGCACAGACTACTGTCCGCGCCTTCATGTCCGGTTGGGTTTCCCGTTTTGGCCCCCCCGCAACCGTAATCACTGACCGAAGAGCCCAGTTTGTGTCACAACTCTGGCAGCACCTCCTACAGTTCCTCGGCACGTCTAGGCAACGCACTACAGCATACCACCCTCAAGATTGGCGAGGAGTCAGATTGGTGATTATTATAGCAGACATACTGCATCCTGTTCGACAGATATGAGGTAAACCAATTGTGGGACAGGCCCCTAACACCGTAATGTTCTTCCCTTAGGACTACTCATGCTGTTTTTTTTTTATTGAGCCAGGTGAGTACTACTACCTGAAGCTTGAATATTTCTATGCCCCCCAGGTACCTACTGCTCCTGACGTGGACCCTGCTCCTGATGAGGATCCTGCATCCGGACCTATGGACCCAGACACCCCACCCGGCGCCCCTGAGGACTTTGCACCTGCCGCGAGAGAAGCACCACATTCCTCGCCTGTTCAACCTTCTCTTATCCACAACCCTCCTTCTCCCTCTGCTTCTCCCACAGATCTCGTGTCCTAGACGGAGTCGTCACCCGTTGCGGCTCGATGTGGAATACAACCCTGCCGACAAGTTTCCTGCAGCGCTCGGAGGGGAGGGGGAGTATTGTAGTGGATACTCTCCCCTACAACTGCCACTGCCGTTAGTCGCTGATCCCAGGTTTCTCTGCAAGCCTAGTGTACTGCACGGTGGTCGGCCAGCAAACTGGTGGACTGTATATAAGCCACAGCCTCTGAATTCTACTCAGCTCTCAAACAGACAAGACCTCCTCTAACAAGCTCCTCACCACACAGCAACTCCCTAGCACTGCATTTTTAATATATATATATATATATATATATATATATATATATATATATATATATATATATATATATATATATATATAATAACATGAGTTCCTTCACCTCCATCCTAGTGATCCAACATCAAGTTAACCCCACAGGTGAATGACCCACATCAGGGCCTGGGAGGTAAAGATATATTATTATTATTATAATAATAATAAAAATAAAAATTAAAAAGATTAAATCTAATAATTATAATAATATAGAACCATAAACAAATGCAAAAAAAAAAGAAGAAAAAAGATCAATAGTGAGAAACGATAGATACAAATTGTGTTGTCAAAGTAAGAGAAACAATTGAGACCCTGCAATTGTGTGTAAATGAGGCATTGAGTCAAATCAGCAACCTGGGACTTGGTCACAATATTTGATGCCATATAGCAGCAGGGTCTACCATTAGACAACACATTATGCTTCCAATACCATCCCAGGCAGTAGTATCTTAATCTATATGTCAAATGTGCATGTTTACTCCTGATTAGATAGTATAAGTACCTTTGTTATACGACCTTTGTTTAACCTTGACTTCCATTTATATACCTCAAACATATCGCCCCTCGCTCTACGTCTCTCAAGGGAATGCAAATTCAGCTGTGCTTCAATGTCTCCATACTCTAGGTTCCTAATTTACCTACCTACCTTACTTACCTTATGGCCATCCACTAGAGGTGGCCATGCAGAGGGAGGGAAGGTCAGTGACCTGTGTAGGATCCCTCCAGTGTTCTTGATAATTTTCTCAAGGGCTATTTTGAAGCCCAGTATTGTTCACGATTCCACAGATTGGGCTGGCAGACTGTTCCGTAGGTTTATCACCCACTGTGTGAAGAAGTAATTCCCTATGTTTGTTCTGCATGATAACTTGACTAGCTTCTAGTTATATCCTCTAGTGTTGGTGGTGCATGATATCACAAAGAAATGGCCTAGATTCACATTTTCCATCCCTTTCAAGATTTTAAATGTTTCAGTGAGATTTGGCCTAATGTACCTCCATTTATTACCACTCTTTCTTGCCGTCATCCTCTAATGTTTTCTAGGGATTCGATATCCATCCTGTAGTAAGGTGACTAAAGCTGAACTACATATCCCAAGTGAGTTCTCACATAAGAGAAACAGTTTAGGATAACCTTGCTGGTCTTGTAATTATCACTCCTTTATATGAACCCAAGTACAGGCATATCCTTTTTCTGCCCAATAATATTCTTTAAATAATTACTTATCTATTAGGAATCATTGTTACTTAATCTGATTTTTCTATATGGTATATTCCATCATAGTGCAATAAGCAACCTTATTTAAATTATGGTATTGTACTTGGTAACATCATAGCTCTTGGTCAGGTCACCTGAGGAAGGGTTACCCTCTGCAGTCACTATGTGAGGTCACCTAATTCACACCCAAAAGAATAACGCCTGCCCTCAACCCCTTTCTCTTAAACCATTTGTCCTGCAGAAACCTGGGGCTTCCATGTCGTTTTCCTTATGATTTACATGAAGTGCTATTTTAAAACTGAATTCTTTATGATCGCTGTTGGCTAGTTTGCATCCTATGTCTACATTATTTATTAATGAGGTTTTCTTTGTTTGACAGAACTAAATCTTGTATACGTATTATTCTCCAAGTAGGTTCAATTCAGTCTAAATATCATCTTGTAGCCACACTTCAAAGTATGTGACATGGATTGCTACCCCACCTCCTTTCCTGATTTATCTTATCAGTATGAAATCATTCATATCCCTTAATTTGATATTCGACAGATAACTTACGTGTCTGAGAGAGTCCAGGTTTCAGTGAATGCTATTACGTACATTGATTTTTTTCAGTACACACCGTACTAGAACACTGATTTCTTCCATCTAAATTCTAATACATAACAGTACTTCTACTGTTCGTATACCAGACAAATAGGCTAGTCTCTATCAGGGTTTTCTGTCAGTTGCATTTTGGGTTTAATTCTCTATCTAATTTCACTTTTTTGTTATTCCCGGTACACTTTCTAGTTACTTTTCTAAATGTATATCTGTACCCATTGTAGTCTCCTTGACCCTAGTGCACTTACAGTATGTTCCCTTAGCAGCTTAAAGACCTCGACACCCTTTACACTGTCCTCCCAAGAGAAATATTCCAGGCCATAATGCGACAGATTTGTATCAGATGCCGAATAATTTTTTAGTGGGTGTACATGATACTTGTACACACACATGTATACATGCACGATACATACACGTACACCCACTAAAAATTATTCGGCAGCCTTAAGGCGTGATACAATATAAAACAGGTAACAAATAATTTTTTAGTGGGTGTACAATAATACACATGTATTTTGACTATGCCCTTTGCCTTCATTAATTTATTATATTAAGTGGCTCTATGGCTCAGTTGGTAGTGTGCTAGGCAAAGTTACTGTGGTGTGTATGGAGCTGGATACCACGTTAATACCCTTAGTTAAGCTAACCATTATTGCCCGTGTTACTGCCCCCCAGAAAACTGAGAAATGACAGAGGACCTAGATTTAAATGTTAATATAATTTTTTAGTCTTAATATTCTTTGTTCAGCTACAGTAGAAAGAAGCACATCAGGGTCCACTTACACTTCACATTGGAAATATGTTTGCTAATATAAATGGGACCACATACAATACACAAAAAGACCAGTCATTTATATTTTATTAACAGCACATCCTGTGAAGAAAACCCCATTCGAGCTCTAAAATTACATCAAAACGAGTCAGAAATGAAACGCAAAGCAAAATTCTCATAAGAGGAATGTTATACAAAAAATTATAAATATAAAGACTAGGCAATAATAACCTCGAATAGCCTTAACATCAACACAAAGATTTGTGTTTTCACACAGCCAACAACTTCCTTACTTAATTTCAATTCAGAGTAAAGAAACATTTGTAATTTATTACACAAATGGTAAGAGCAAAGTGCATTACACTGATTCTTTAATGATGTTTTTATCAAAATTGTCTTCAGGCATATATCATTCAAGGATTGAATAAAAACATCAAATCAACCATTTTTTGATACCCAGACAGTGATAAACACCTCTGACATGGTAATACTAGTCTCTGAAGAACAGCTCCAGACACATTTATATGTTGCCCAGAATTGACTTTATTTTCTCTAGGGCCTCCTCTTTCTTCTTATGTAAAGGTGCATCAGCATCCATGTACTGTTGCTTGCTCATCTTCCCAGCAACCAACTTCTCAACATTGGTCAATTGCTGAAGTACACTGTCACGAAGAATCCTAGAAAAAAAAAAATCCTTTCACGATCACTCTTTACACTCTCCATCATTTGCAGTTTCCCTGTGTAGGGGGGCAACTTATTTACAGGTTCTATTCAGTACCTCTAAAGATTTTGGTGTGCCTTGATTAAAAAGTAGGCCTATTCATGTCATTTTACCATTCAGGTCACCTAAAACAAGCAAGCAAGCAAGCAAAAAAATTATGTATGTGTGATAGATAATGTACAATCCACACCACTTATAAGCCACACAGATTGGCAGCCTCGAAATTTCTAACCGGCAACTTCGCTGGGTCCATCCCTCCCCCCACCTCCCGAATATAAAAACCAGGCAATTAATCAGTGGTCAGCCAAGATGTAAAGTCAACGCTTATCCTCAAACATGTTAGTATTACAGTACATTAGTTGTGACATTCAAAACCTGGCAAAGTTTTGACAAATGTATTAAGCTTTGCTGCTGCCAGTTCTAAACTGCCCAGTAAGGATTGCAAATATTAAGTGAAGGACAGTATTTGAGAAAAAATCCTACATGAACCATCTTGATCTAATGAAGGTGAGGGAAAGGAATACAACTCAGAACTAGATATCTATATCAAAGCTGTGCTGAAGGAGTTAGTACAATATATACGGTACTACAGGAAGGTCAAAGAATACAACTAATTAATGTCCTGTTTGCAGCTCTGAATGCTGGCCTGAATCCAGCAGTCTGAGGAAAAAAAAATATATCTTTAATTTCCTTATAGACCCCTACAACATTAATAGCCCCCCTCCTCTCTCTCTCTCTCTCCAATTTAGAATTCTCATGTTTTTGGTCAGGTCTTTTGCAAATAAAAATATGACAGGGTTTACTGTAAATCAAGAGCAGAGGAGAGTAAGGCAGAAGTGACAACTCTTGGTGAGCATCAGCAAGGGAATGAAACAAAATGGACTCAAAAGCCATGATATCATATCACAACAGTAGCAAAGGTGATTGTGATTAAGTAGCTCAGTTCCTGCATCTTGAGGGCAGCATCTTTTCATTTTTCTCTTTTGACGGTGATGGTTGTGACTGAGGGATTGTCAATTGGAAGATCAGGCCCAAGCTGTCAAAAGGGATGCAGCACAATTGCCAAACTTCCAAAACTGGCTAGTGCAATAATGCAAAACCACCTAGCTCTTCAAGTTAAAAGTATCAGCCACTTTCTACAGTATCTTCATTAACAGTATGGAAAATGATCAGGGAATTTAAAGAACAATACAAATTCAATTTCATTAGCTGGTAATTTCAGAATACTAAATCATGTTACCTTACTCCAGTTTCACAAAATATTTGGCTTACAAATTCAAAACCATTATCAATGAAGAGAACCAAATCAAACTCTACAAATGTCTAACTGCACTGTTAGTACAGCACCTAACAATCCTCCAATACCTGACTGCAAAGAACTTATATTCTGACCACTAACAGATGACACCCAAGTTGCACTTTGATAGGGGAAACTACTCAATAACATTAAGTAAGAAAATTATCGGTTTTGAATTTTAAAAATAGTTGGTGCCAGAATCAGCATTGTGAATTACATGGAAGAAAATTCTTAAACTTGACAATATTACTCATGTCATATTAGGCACAATATTTTAAATTTTACTTTTTAGCATTATAGAATCAAATTTGGAATAATTTACCTGAGACTGAGCAACATCTTTTGAGGTCTTGAGCTTCTGTAATTCTTCTTCTAGCTTCTCATACAGGCGAGCTCTCTTATCATGGTGTGTGTGCACTTGTTCACAGTATGATGACACACGCATCTTGGCCTCTGTTGCATCATCTTTACTAAGGGTCAAATCCAGACGAACATAGAATATTACCTGGAAGCAATATGAGATTAAGAGTAAATTTAATAATCACAGTAATGGACTTATGGGGGAAGTCTTTCACAAAGAAACAATGCATCTCACCAATTCTTGAAGACAGATTAACGGAATCACAAATTATACCAACACCTTTGTAGGTAGTAGGCAGTAGGCAGATACCAAACAGGGAGGTACTACCGCCTGGGAAGTTATTGGAAGCACAATGTGTTGTCTAATGGTAGACCCTGCTGCCATATGGCATCACAAAAATTGTGACCAAGTCCCAGGTTGCTGATCTGACTTTCTGCTTCATTTACACACAATTGCAGGGTCTCAATTGTTTCTCTTTCCATTGACAACACAACATACATACAGTATATCGCTTCTCACTTTCGATCTATTTTTTTCATTTTTGTATTTATAGTTCTTTATTATTATTTCAGTTACTGTATTATTATCATCATTATTTTATTTTTGTTTATTTTATCATAAATTTTATTTATTATGAATTATTATGACTATTATTTATTATTATTAATATTATTAATACAATATTATTATTATTACATTTTTGCCCCCCAGGCCCCAATGTGGGTCAGTGACCTGTACCCGGGTGGGCTAATCCCCGTAAAAAAAAAAAAGTAAGCCAATTGCAATTCAGATGAGTATCGTCACCTAATTTCTTCATAAAATACAAATGCCCCAACTAGTACTGTACAGTTAACCCTCACTTTACGCGGTCCCACATTCTGCGTTTCCACGTTTACGCGGTGCCCTGCCGGAACCCAGGATGCTCACATTCCACGGTGCGTGTACCCCTTTACTCGGAGAGCGGCTGGCGAGCCGTGCCATTTTTGGATCCAAACCTCCCGCCATCCGCCATGTTGTGTAAGCGGCGCGAACATGGTGCGCACAAGGTCGCCCAGTCATCAAAACATTACCAGTTCTTCACCCGCCACCCACCACAGCCGGCCCAAGTCAGTGATAGTGATAATTATGGTGAGGATATGGACTTATATGGACTTTGTGGAGTTTGACAAAGAGGCCCTGCAAGCCTCTGTGGTGGATAGTGATACAATTGATACAAGTGACACAAGTGAGGGCCAATAATCTGCCCTCTGCCTCGGAACCAACCGCCCATCCCCGTGTGCCCAGCCATTTTTTCTACTAATGTAAGTGTTAAAAAACCTAATATTATTGATATTTCTCTTAATTATTAATTGTGTGTGCATACCATCATAAAGTTAAGATAATATTTTTACTACAACATAGTTGTGTGTCGTCAAAAAGTGGAGTTTGGGGATCGGCCCGGACTCCATTTCAATTAATCCCATATGTTATGTTATTCACTTTACGCGTTTCTCACTTTACGCGGGACCCTCCGGGTTACATTAACCGCGTAAAGTGAGGGTTAACTGTACAGTGATTGGGTATAGGTATTAGTGATGGTTTTTATCACCTGGTAGAACACCTAACAGCAGAAGTTATTCATGTCATCCATGGGTGTGACCAAGGAGCCAGCAAATTAAATCTACTGTGAAGACTTTTTGCTTAATTCTAATAAATGTAGCAAACCCTATAAATCCAGAAGCCAAACACAAATAAAAAAATCCAATCAGATAATGTAGAGTGGCTCCTAAAGACCTCTACTTTTTATGATTAATATGCTAACTAACTGGCTACTAAACTATCATCATCATCAATGAAGGTCATATATTTTGAAAACAAAAATAAAATATTCAACTAAAATCTTGAAAATAAAATTATTGGTTACTACCTCTTTCCATGCATTATTAAATTATCCAAGACATACGTACATACAGTGATATCCCCGTTAGCCGAAACAATTGGTGCAGAGCACTTCCGGGGATGAGATATTTCCGGCTAACCGGATGACTTTCTCAAATCCGGAAATATTTCCGATTACTGGAAAAAACTTTACAAGTGTCTAAACTAAGCATCTTGTACAGACAAACACCAGCCCACATCCACAGAATGTTTCTGTGTGCTGAGGAGTTTTCCAAGAGTTTAAACTAAAAATCTATATGATATGGTCATGAATGAAGCTGTGTGTTACAGCAAAGACTGATATTTTCCACTCCCTTGGAGCTGTGGGGTATTAGTGGGTCTCCTGTAAGTGACCTGACCTGACACAATGCCAGGTGGAGGTAGGGTGGGGTATTAGTGGTCTCATATTACTGACCTTCTGATACAATGTCAGGTCACCCATTGCCGGTTGGGGGATTAGTGGGTCTGAGGACCTGAAGATGTCTTGAATAAACATGAAAGCTAAAATACCGCATTTTTTATCCTTACATTTATCACATTATATCCCTTCAACATTATGTTACAGAAGATTTTAAATTGTGGAGTGAGAAAACACAAAGGTGTGGGTGATTAGAGAGATGGAGTGGAAAGGAGTGGTAACATGCACCAGTGTTGCCAAACGCTGAGCTCCTCAACAGCTGATCTTTCAATTCACCACCACGTAGTTAACCAAGCATAAATATATGTCATACAATATGGGGGTGTGTGGGTGGTGTTAGGGTGTCTGGGTGTGATGTTGTGGTATTAATTAATAAATAAGCAATATTGTATCGTCAATGACGGTCATTTGATGAATAGTAGTTTACTATAATGGACAAGTTGGCTGTTCTGGGCAAACACAAGAAATACACACTGCCACGTTCGTAGAGTGATACAGTATATACATGTACTCAACTTACGACCGCCGCAGTCGTATAAAATATTTTTCAAATTACGTATTTTCGAGTCCTGACTTCAGTGATCGCACTGTGTACTGACAAAATTTTTGTTTGTAATTACCTTTAAAGTGGCTGGCAAGCTTAAAAGTGAGAGTTCTCGTGGTGCTGAGAAGAAAAAGAGACGCCTATTTTCTATGTATTATTTTCGCATTTTCGACTTACGACCTGGTCGTCGGTCCCTAACCCCGTCGTAAGTCGAGGACTCACTGTATCACTCACACTTTTCTGCTTTCTCACTCCATATTTTAAAATGTTAGGTAATGTAACGTTGAAGGGATACAACTTTGCTCATTTATACTTATACTTATCACAATTTTCCTAAAAATGCTTTAGCTTTCGTGTTTATTCAAGGCAACTTCAGGTCATGAGACCCACTAATCCCCCAGCCAAGAAAGGGTGATCTAACATTCCATCAGATCAGTAATATGAGACCACTAATCCTCCACCCTACCTCTACCTTACATGAGTCAGGTCAGCCCCCACCCCCCCAAAAAAAATACTTTCATCTTTCTTAAAAAAATTCTGAAAATCCTCTCGATTTTCAACCTCGGAAAATTTTTTCCCAAACCTGGAATTTTTTTGGGAAAATTCCGGCTTTGAAACAAATTTCCGAGCAAATTTCAATTCCGGCTATTGGAGATTTACGAGTTTGAGGGATTCTGGCTAACGGAGATATTACTGTAATTATGTGTTGGCCAGAGCTTAACTTTTACTAATAAAAAATAAGTATAAAACTTCAAAACGGCATTAAAAAAATTTTGATTGAAGACGTGTAATTTAGTTTTTCATACAGAATGATTAGTATAAAACAATTCATAATGCAAATATGTTAAAAATTTTGGATACTTAGAATGACTTACATTTTTAAGAAGAAATAATATTTTTGTGCTAATATCTATTGTTCAAATGTCTACTTTTACCCAATAAGTTAACTAATCACTTACTGTGATAAATAGGATGAAGAATGCTATCACCACAAGTAGAGGTTCTTGCAACATGAGTATTGAAGGGAACTGGTAGTGTAGTGTGAAGTCTTGTATGTGACTCTCCACCAGGTTCTTCTTGGTCACAGAGACCACTGGCCGGCCCACCGTGTCCAGGTAGGTGAAATGTTTAGCATCTGGTAGTCGCTCAACCAAGTAAGGTGTTCTGCAGGGTTGACAATTTATGAAGTACAATACTGTACAATAAATGTATACATTAATATGCAATTTACAAAAACTTAAAACAGCAGAAACAAAAATCTCAAATTTGAAAATATGATACAGGTTGACAACACTTTATCCGAAATTCCGAAAACCAAAAAGCTCTGAAAACCGAAAGTTTTTTGTGGAGGATTTTTTTTTTTTTTTTTTAACAGGGATTAGCCCACCCGGGCATAGATCACTGACCCACATCAGGGCCTGGGGGGCAAAAATGTAAATAGTAATAATAATTATAATAATAATTATTCATAGTAAATAATATTTTTAATAAAAATACACCAAAATAAAATAATGATAATAATAATAACAAAATATAATAATCAAATTAATAATAATAACAATAATACTGTAATAATAAAAAATAATAATAAAAGAAATACAAGGAGGAAAAAAAGATCAAAAGTGAGAAACACGACCTAGACCTATGAATTATTATTATTATTATTCGAGGCCCTGATGTGGGTCAGTGATCTATGCCCAGGTGGGCTAATACACACCAAAAAATAAAAAATAAATAAATAAATAATAAAAAAAAATTTCTGAAAACCGAAAAATTCCAAAATCCGAAATGCACCTGGCCCCAAGGATTTCGGATAAGGGATTATCAACCTGTATATTTATACAGAATCGACATACCTAGAGGTACTGTAAAACAATTGGAGAAATACGTATTGAACTTGAAGATACAACTTACTCAAGGATAATATTGCGTACGCCTTCTGGTAGGATGATTTTCAACACCAACTCGTCAACAGTGAAGTCATCAAACACATGGTCCAAAATGCGCATTTTCAGAATGTATTCATCACCTGAAAATTAACAAAATGCTGTAAATTTTTATTTACCCAATTACTTTTATTTTCAGAAGACAATATATCTCGCAATATTCATCAAGTTTGCAAGCACTAGAAGATTGTTTAACCAAAGGTCCTGACATTTCAAAGTGATTGGTTTTATGCACATGAAGAAGGGAAAAAAGTGATTACATTCAATATTTTGCTGCAAATTATTCACCTCATTCACAGTTCGTTATCATAATACGCCTGTACCTTTGTTCATTTCTACAGGACAGAAATTCAATTTACTCATCTTACTTCCATTACCAAATAAAAGGGTTTTTACTAAGTATAAATCAGCTGCCTCACTCGCTCACATAACTTGAGGGGTTATTTAGCTCAACTATTAAACTGTACTTCATTTTCCTCAAAATACACGAACCAACAGTGCAGATGTGTATTCTGTATGTTAAATATGCATTTCTACACCTTTCAACAAATATGCTAGCTACTGAAAATGTTTGAAATGCTCAAGTACTGTACAGAATAAATAATAAAAAGCTTCCATACCAGAGCTGTAGAGATACTCATATGAAGGAACATTGTAGCCTATCTTGTAATGAGTCTTCCATCCTCCAAACAATGGAAACCTGGGCCTCAAATCTAGTTCAACTGCGTCATCTTGTACTCGCATGTGAGATGTGGAGATATTGCCAATTTCATCACGATAATAAACATCTTTTGCAGAAGCTGGCATAATCGTCTTGAAAGATCTGTTGTGGGATTATGTATTATTACTCAATTAGTTGGGATGGGAGTAAAGTAACAAGTAGATTTAAATGCAAGCTAAAAGGAAGATAATCATGTAAAAGTTATCAGTTAGTAACTATTTAGTGGAGGAGACACTTCACAGCACATGCTAGCTAGTCACAAAGGTTATAGGCTGGCTAGGAAACTCCAGTGAATCACAAATCAGTGCATTTATTCAAGAGCTACAATGGTCTTGCTATTTCCCACCTTTTTAACATCTTAAACATAATGGTTTGGCTGTGCATTCAACAAGGGTGTAAAATGGAGTTTTGTTGAGTAATATATTTGAATAACAAAGGCAAAGTGAAGGAATACTGGGCCCTTGGAAGTAGTCATACAAGGCTGGATAAATGTGGGGACATCTGTTTTAGATTGTATTGTCTAAAAGACCATGCACAATTAAACATACACCTAACTGGATTTTGGTATAAAGAATTCAAATGTACAACACACTTGCACATAAAATACAAAGTGATTCTTGGCAAACTGCTTTAACTTACTTAATACTGGAGTAACTGTTGTGCTCACGCTGATAGTCATAACGCGAGAAGGGGCCCTTCAACTTGGCACCTGTATGTAAAACATCAATTGTCTCCTCTATAGCTATGTTACCCCAATGAGACACTTCAATTACGCGCTCAAGCCTTGAGACAGTCAAAAACGGGGCGTTGTTTTCAAAATGGACATTCATGGAATCCTGAAAATATAAAATAAAATATACAGTAAAGAATACAAAATTACTGCACCATCAATCAAATCCTTAAACAGATGCTAATGAAATTTAGTTTTAGTGGTAACATAATCCAAAAAAAATTACTTTACTGTTTTATTTCTCAACTAACATATTTCATGGGGTTCTACCACCTATGTTTCACACCCATAGAGTAATGTTTGATCAACAGATGCCACATACAGTACATCCCTTCTTAGCCTTTTTTGACATAGTTCTCTCTGTACATTCTACTTTAGACCACATTAATATTAACTGCTCTGAATGTAAGTAAAGCACCTTTACCTCTGAGAATCCAGCAACTCCTTCATATGGACCATAGGTAATGGAGGTATCTGTGTGGGTAGTGGGCTTGAGACGTGAGTAGGATTCAATATTGGGGGATGGAAGGGTGACAGTTGTTGTCTGAGTGTTACTGGAATAGGGGGTGAGGATATAGTGGTTCCCAGAATAACGCACTAGTTGCTTCTCTCCTTGCTGGATGATAGCTGGGTAAGGCTCCAAAATCTGGGTCAATATGATCTCCACCTCAACCTGGATTAACAAAACAAAAATAAAACAAAAACTGAAAAATCGTTGCAATACAATAACAGGCAAGGCTCCTAAAACACTTGTATGCATCAGTACATCAAAACAGGACAATAAGTGATCCATAATTGGTATTCACTTTACAATTCCATCCAATCTTAAAAACATTCCCACCTTCTTTAACATCTTTTTTCTTTTACAAAAAGGATATGCGTATGCAACATTTCATTCTCTGACTTAATTTCTTATGCCAACATATCACCGCTACAGTTTTTAACACTACTGTATACTCTTGAACTGTTCACTTTCTTATTTATTCCCCACTCCCACCACCCCAATTTACATGTGTCCACCTTGTCTCAACCATTTTCTCATATCTTTCAGCTACACTCTTTTCTAAGCTTGTCAACCTCTATAACCAACATCTTTACTTCTCTTAATTTATTTCACACGAGCATTCCATTCACCATTTACTGTATGTAATTTCTACCCAGTAATGGCCAAGCACTTTGTACACTGCTCCTCAAAACAAATCACAACTTACTTACATTTCATTTGTTCTTTCCACCAACACATTCTAATGGTCCCCTGTTTTCTCCATTATTTCAACTCCACACTTTTTTATTTCTATTTATTGACATGTACTGTATTCCACACTATTGTATCAACTCATTGTCAGCACATATCTTAGTTTCTGCATTATCACATACAGGGTATTCCTTGCACTCGATATTTCATTACAATCCTCTCCACTTCCCTATCACCAACTCTGGTATTTCAGTTCATAATCACTCTTATGTACAGAGTATATTATACAGTACATACAGTAGCTATACAGTACAGTATATCTCAAATGGTCAAGCATTAACAAATGATTCCAGAACATATGTTTAAAACACTTAAAAAAAAAATTGATAAAGTCGAAACGTTAATAAAACTACCGTAAACTACTGTACAGTAAAATACTTACATTGACAGTCTTGCCTGACTGGAGAGCATCCTTTAGCTCCACCTTGAAGAAGGCCAAATCACGATGCTCCTGTACACGGGTTTCTGCTAACTTGAGAACTGTGCCACCTGACTGGGTAATATAATTAGAAAAAATAAATACTGGTACCTTTCTGACATGAAATACTAATTTACACATGCTTGAGAACAACCATTTTCTGGGAAAGCTTCAGTATTTACACAATTTTGGCACTGGGATTATAAAAATAAAAGCAATACACTAATGAACCATGGACTTTACCAATGGATTCCAAGAATTAGAGAATTTTCTCAACACAATCTACAAGCAATAAGAGCTTGTGTCTATGGCAGAATATGCTTACCATACTAAAGATGGTAATTACCGGGTATTTATGTTTGTACATTAAGTTAACCAATACAATACAGTACTGTACTATATTAGTAATACCTTTTCTAGTACAGTACCATATACTGTAGTACCGAGTACAATACTATACGTTAACTTGTGTGCAGCGTGATGTTGGAAGGAAAAAAATTAATATATTAAGTGTAGCTACTTAATAAATGCGAAGTACTCTAGACTGTGTGCTTCTGCAAATTAATAAAGAGAATCACTAATCTCTCTCATTTTATGTGGTACAAATCAAATAGGTTGTGGTCTGCTCCTGGTAAAATCAATTCCTTCAAGTTTACTAAATCACTGAATTAAGTTCAAAGATTTATTAATGTACTATTTGCATAAATTCTAAATAATTTCCTTTCCTTTCAGTGTATCAACAGTAATAGTAATTCATCACTTTCTTTGCAGCCACTTTCCAAACTTAGCAATGATTATGTACCTGATTACAGCCTCTCTCATCAGGTTTTTATAGCTTAGGGTCATTTCTCACTTCTCCTCATGTCATTCTTCTCTTAACCCTTGGTCTCCTTCCCTCCAATCAGATTCATGCATCTCTTGACCTAACTGATCTCCATTCTCTCCAAATCTCAATTCCTCTACACAAAACTTCTCCAACTCTCATTACCCAGCTACCCTCTTAGCTCTGTCCAGGATTTCCTATCTTTCAGTGTCACATTACACATCCATCTCATTCTCATATGTACCTCACTCAAGTCTATGTATGTTATCGTTTTTAACTGGCCATGTTTCACTTTCAAACATAACATAACATTTCTCGTGCTATCTTTCCTTGCACACGAAGAGAAATTTCACTTGCCATCTATAGAGGCAGCTGCTCCTTCAATTTCCTCCAGCCACTTCTCCCTCTTGCAGCTGAGCTAGCCCCAGCACCACTTCTAGTATTGATCATGTCACCCAAGTAACAGAACTCAACACAATCCAGGGATAAACTCCCAATGTTGAGTTTCTCCAGCAACATCCTCCACCTCTTACTGTATGTATGCACCTTCCATTCTCAATGCAAATTCCAGTAGAGTTGCTGTTAACACACTTCTCACAAGCAACACCTGGCCATTTTCCGCCAAAATATTGTAATGCATTTGTGAATCTATAGATCAAAGAAATGGTGTTTACCATTTTGCAATTACTGCAGTACAAACCAGGTGTCAAACATGGAAAAATAAATTTATCATATTGAACTGTCAAATGTTGCTCGTATTTTATTCCAACATCAAAAGAACAATACGATGCTTATGAAATATGACGTCTTATTTTTAAACAATAAGAGTATCATAGTAATTGGACTTTAGTCCCTTCTTATTTAATTAAAAAACTGATTTTGGGGGGCATTTAGTACACTTAAAGGGATCATATCTCCATTAATAAGCATCAGCGCCAAAAGTAATTGTCAGATTCTTTCAACTTACAATGAAAAACAAAATATTTTAACATATAATATTTTTCCTATTCGAGCAAAAAACGAATTTTTACCATTAAATGTATTTGCTCTACAAAAACCTAAGAAATGTTGCCAAACAGAATTTAAGAAAGTTTGAATTCCTCCACCTAGTTTTGGATATTCTCGAGGCGAGAAACTATTTTCTTCTATAGAAAATTGCCACAGGATACATGTACAGCAGCCATATGCAAAATGCCAATGTCTATTCATATGGCAACCTAATGGGGAGCCACGAATTACCCAAAAGTACCCAAAAGTATAGCAAATAAGGGTACAATCTTAACGAATATCTGTTATACATACACAAAACATGTTTAATAATATTTTTAGTGTAATTTTGTAAAAATAATTTGTAAGATGAAATAATAAACAGCGAAAAACTTTCAGTATTGGCGAAAGCTGAATTTCAAAGAGTTCGTGAACAAGGGAGATAACTCAGATCCATCGTGATGCACTTCGCTAACCTAACCTAACGAAAAGTAAATCCTACGGCTACGTTAAATACCCCAAAGTAACAGAAACATCGGTAATTATATCTCCATTTTGGATAGGTGACTCTTTGGAATTTAGCATTTTTCGCTGTTTATTATTTCATTATTTTGACTACATTTCAATGAATACATTATTAATCAGGTTTCATTGATGTAAAACATATTCGTTAAGATTTTACTCTGATTTAATATACTTTTGGGTAATTCGTTGGACCAGCCTAATGCCCATGGGTGGTGGGCAGACTATACAATGTTAGTTACCAAGATGGTCTTCTTTCTGACTAACCCAACCTAACCATTAACAATACAGTTGGTCAATACAGCTGCCTTTCCTATATCCAGGACATAGAAAATTTTCTAAGTAAATTTTGACTTTTGGACAACACAGGACTCTTAGGAATTTTATCTTTGCACTCAACAGTTTCGACAATTCTATGACGTTACCCTCACAAATGACCTGACTTAACCCCCTAACTGGGAGGCTTCACCCCTCCGGACCCCCCAACATATATGTAGTTTGCTTGGGAAATGTCATAGAAGAAAAGTGTCTTAGAATTGTTGAAACTACCTATAATAAAGATAAAATTCCTGTATTACCAGAAAAGTAAAATAATACCATTTTGTAAGGTTGCTTGTTATTGGGGAACAATGTCCTAAATTGTTAGCCCAGAGAATTACCATACTACCATGCTAGTTTTCAAGATTTTCACATCTGATTCTTCTCAATTATAAAATAACTTTCCTTTTCCAAAAGTATTCATGAACAGTTCAAGTAGAAATATAAAGTGAACGGTTGCCAACACAATACCCTACTTTTGCTGATCATGACTAATTATGACAAGTATACTTGTTAAAGTATTCAACCATTCCTAAGATTATAAATGACAGGGGTATATTAACAGCTGCCTCCCGAGAGAAACAATACGTGACATAAGTTTACCCATTTCTGTTCTAATATGATCCCGACTGATCCTTATAACTGTTTAAACCTTATATTGAACCTAATACTGTAAAAGGTTGCAGAAGTGTATACAAAAACACGAAACGTTAACTGAAAAAGGGGTAACCAATTAATGCTATAAACACCGCATTAAATCCACTCACACTGCTGTCACCTGCCGCCTCTCACCTGAGCATTTAAGTAAGACAGGTTATCCTTCTCAACTTTAGTGAAGGCCAAGAGGAAGGACTTGACAGCCCCCGAGCCACCATTCTCCAGGGTTATCTTATTGGTAATCTTAACCAACTGTGACGATATATCTAATTTCCTGTCGAACTTTTTGTTGATTAAATCCTTGTTAATGCTGTCATAGGTAGCAGAGGAGGCCACCACCAGCAGCCCCAGCAACAGCACTTTAAGATGACCCTCCATCTTTGGTGTAGGTGGACGGATATCACACACACGCTGGGGGGTGATGCCGGTGCCGCCTCTCAGCCAACCACCGTCTGACACCATACTGACGCGACGCCATCACAGCTGATCTGCCCAAGTTAACAGCGAGATGCGCATTGTATAGCCACCCTCTTCACTAATCATAATACACATGTATTTACTAAGCCCCTTGTCATGTACTTCGTGAGTAGGACACTATAGTATTTTGATAAGCCACTATACTTATCAATTTACATTATGATCTCGGAGTTTCATACCGTTACTATTTACTTTACTTTACTTTTATCCTCTTCACCACTGATCGGCTCGTTAGCCGCTTGGGCGATCGGTCACGTCTCTGTTACGCACTGTTGGCAAGTACTGGGCTTGCACCGGCTCCTGAATGTGCCTGAACGACTCTGCCGGTCCCGTACCGGCCTCTTTAGTCACCTTAAAACTCACCAACCTAGGTCACATCCTTAATAACTCATATCATTGTATCATAGCTGGATGATCGCCATACTCGATTCCGAGTAACAGCAAAGTAGTAGATGGCTTGGCTGTCTTATCCTGTCAGCACAAATATCTTCTTTGAATTTTTGTCAGTCATTCTGTTAATATCTCTCCCTGTCTTTTTACGGGTTTATTATACGTCTGTGCTCTCATTTTATGTATCTCTGCTTGCCTCTGCTAATATCTCTGGCTCTGCTCGTATACCTTTCAGTCTTTCTGTGTCTATTTGCTTCTCTGTATTTCACTATGTATCTTTTGTCTGTTTGTCTATTTTCAGGGAGAATAAAAAAGAATTCGTTCTTGACAGTTCCAATTCTAGACCAAGGTTCTATTTACTGTATATCAAACACATCACACAGGAATTAGTTAATTGTTTATTAATGTATATTCCAAATTATCAATATAATACATGTACCAAGTAATAACACAACCTGCATAATAAGACAAGTGACAGCTTCGGTAGGCTATATATAGCAGTCAGTAAAGGAGCTACAAATAGTTAACAGCTTCTTCCACAAACAAATCAAAACAGTGCAGGATGGACGTTCAGGCAGCCGATAATTAAGTCTAATCATTGAGATAATAAACGTCCTGAACCTAACTTTACCACACCCAGAAATATTTACAAGATATACAAGGTGTCTCAATATATATATATATATATATATATATTATGTAGATCCACAATGAAAACGTGGATAAGATAAATCTTGATAAAATCACACAGGAAAAAGGGAAACAATGGAGCACTTCCATTGTTTCCCTTTTTCCTGTGGGACTTGTTGCTTGATCTCACTCTCCTCTACTGTATAGATTAGCGTTGTCAAGTATTACTCCTTAGTCTGTACTCACCCCTGAAGATGTGAATTACACGAAAGCGTTTGGGAACTTCGTGTTTTCTTGTTTCTTTGTGGTTATCAGCATATACCTGGATCACGCGCACCTACAGTGATTTACTTGCATATATATATATATATATATATATATATATATATATATATATATATATATATATATATATATATATATATATATATATATATCATATCACACGGGAAAATGGAAACTATTCAAGACATCTTCAGAAGCCTCTGAAGACTTGAATAGTTTTTTCAAGATATATATATATATATATATATATATATATATATATATATATATATATATATATATATATATATATATATATATATATATATATATATATATATATTCACGCGATCTCCACGAAAATCTGTAATGCAGTGAGTAGTACATATACATTTTTCCGAGACACCCTAGAGGAGATAGTCTCCAGAAATTATGGGTGTTTGACAATACAGTAACTAGCACTTAATGTATAGAAAATTTATAACAAATTTAGATATTAAATGACAATATAATGAAACATCTTGTGGTAAAATAAAATGTTGCTTGTATGAAGACGTTTTGAGGAACAAATAATGAATCAATAATTTAATAAGCGCAGTAGGTGATACTCTACAACAAGAAGGCACTTGATTATGCCCTCACAACATAGTATAGCATATGACAATACAACATATGACAGCACAACATAGTACAGCATATGACAGTTAATAACTGATGCAAATATCTTATTTTATCGGAACAATATGACAAACACTACAGGAGGCAAGGTAAACTGTAAGAAATAAATAATAACATCTGACGGTAACAGGTGAAGCTGTACGATTATAGTATATACTGTAGACGATAAAGATAATCGTATATCACGATGAAATAAGGATCCCTTATTCCTGACGGCCCAGTGTGGATATACAGTACTATGTACACTGAATACTTTTTTGGTACACAGGGAGGCAGTGTGGCCGGCACTGCAATTAACCATCTTCACTGCCCTAACTGTAAAATGTACCATTTACATAAGGATTAACACAGGTGCCCCGGTCTCGAACCACGACCCGTAAGGCAGGTGAGCGCTAAATCCACTTGGCCAATGTAACCTTGCACTAAATAAATATAATTATATTCAAACCTGCCAGAGTGATGAAGGACGTTGCCAAGAACTCTTCAGTTTTGTGGGTATTGAGGTATTGTGATACACATGTTGAGTCAAGTTCGTCCTCGGCACAACGATACATGTTCTTTTACACTCCTTATGAGATTCTGTTGACTGTGTTATCTAATTTTCACTTCGTCTATAGTGACTCTATACGCACATCTGTCCCATACAGGAGTACAAATTTCATTCACCAAGGTAACACTTCCTCTCTGTTTCGGATTTACTCCTTCATCCTCATCATCAATCTTCCTGGCGTAGTGAAGTTCCTGCTAACACAGTCGTTCAGAACACCGACATTTTTTACAAACAAAACTAAAAGTTTAAGGAGAAATCATAGAAGTGTTGCTGACAAATCTGTTCACCCAACCGTCCCCTTGTCAAAGACTGAAGATATTTGGAGCAAGATGTTAGAACTATTTGATGTTATGCGGCACAGGAATAATACTATGTGGCAGGGAGTTCCACACATTATTAATCAGGGGGAATTTCAACAGAAAACTCAAGGTCCTTACCATATGTCCTAGGCCGATGGAGGCTGTGTGGTAAAGGTACTCTGTAGAGCAACTCTTCACAACACTGACTAGAAGTATCGATTAAACAGGTAAAGCGATGAGATTATTATGTGAATATGCAGCGGCGGAAATTTTCGGGTTTGTTCATTATGGCTGAGGCTTTGATATTTTATTTTCTTGAAGGGGGGCACCAACAATCCACCTGGGTTGCCAACCTATGTGACATCGTTAAAGTAGAGTCTGGTTCTGAATATACAGTAGGTCTAAGCTTCATTGAAACTGTTTGGGGTAAATTTCGTATCAAGGTGCCGAAAATTTCAATGCTGTAATGGTGTTGTTAAAATTTGTTAGATTATGCAATATCACGTCTCTTATCAAATAGTGTGTTTTTTTTTAAGTTTTGTCTGACATAAAATGTTTGATCTGGTGAGGCTAATGCAGAGTGAAGGATGTGTGGCTGAATCATCGGCTGAGTCACTAAAAGATCCTTGTCGAGTAATAACAAAAGTTGAAATTTGACTTGACATTCAATAGCTTTAACAAGTTCTTCTCGCCGTCAAGATAATTCAAAAGTATCCAAATAAATCGGGAATAAATCAATCCTTTCTAGCCCCAGTTCACTTATTCCGGAATGTTAAGTCCGCAGCTTGAGTGCTCTGGTACACGGCCACATACTGTACTTGTTTTATTTCAACTAACCTAAAATCCTAAGAAGGAGAAAATACTCATCACACACCACTATCGTCTCTGTTCTGTGAGATCTGAGAATCTCTGAGGTTCTGAGATACCGCCGAGTACCTGAGACCTCTCTCTTGTAATTGCCTCGAGGACCGCCGATACTTGTAGCCTTTGCCTGAAGATGTACTAATCGTCGTAGACTTTGTCTCGTGTGAGCCACTGGAACTCTCCGTCTTCAGAATCCTCCTACCAGCTATTTTCTGGAGAAGTTCATCCCAAACTCTTTTCTTGCAGTCAAAAGCAATAAATATAAATGCTCCCTGAAGTCCGTTGAAGACAATGAAGAGATACTCAAAGATAAAACTCTGAGTATGGATAGATATAAAGGCAAACACCCAGGTCAAACCCATCATAAGGGCCAGCTTGCAGTACAACACCAGTCGGATCCGTTGCTTTTTGTGACCTTGGATTCTTCTTTGAATCCTCTCTTTAATACGTTCTGAGCATCTCGGCGATTCGGATTCTTCACTACTCTTATTATTTGACAAGTTTTTGTTTAGTGAACTGTCAGAAGGGTTCAGAATCTTTTCTTTTCTCTTCCCACCTTTGTATTCTCCGGAGGATCTGTGCTTCTGTACAGTAGACGAGGCAAACTCTCCCGATTTCATTTGTTTGTATATGTTAAATACTGACATCCCGTAGAGCATAATATTGACCAGGATCACGAGTCCAGAGGGAAGGGTAAAAAATGCCACCAATCCCCACTTGTTGTTGAACCAGCACACGTGTGTTCCAAACTGTGGCGTCAGAACGTACTCGACTGACGACAACTGATCAACTGAGACAGCCACTAGAGAGCCTACCAGCGGCACGGTCCACGCGTACAGGGAGTACTGAATAAATGTTGCTCGGGATTTCATTTTATAGGTGCTTGAAAGGAATGTTCTACAGATATCAATACTCATGACGTTCATCCAGAGGAAAGACGCGCCCAAAAAATAATAAATAAGTATACCAGTGATGACGCAAGCGGTGTAGTTTTGATTCTTGTTGAAAAATGAAACAAATATGAATTCGGCGATGAACAACGAAACAGTCATGGAAAAGAGATTCATACTGGGAATGTTACGTCTTTTAGGAAGTGCCACGAAGATGATCATGTGTAAGAACATACCAAAAAGTGAGATACAGACAAGAGCAGCTGAAATAGCGTTCATAGCTGGAGTCCACCTCTCTGCTGGGCTACACACTCTGATCGATGAGTTGTTTATTTCATATTCACCAAAATTATACATCCGCTCTGTGTGATTTAAGTAAACACTTAGATTGGCGAACATGACGCTAAATTCGCGGTTGTAATCTCTCGTGTAACATGACGTGTTGAGGTAGGAGCTGCCATCATCGGTCATGGTCTCGTTGTTCCTCACACACTCTCCGTCCACCAAGGTGAAGAGAGAGCCGCAGAAGACATCTTGACACTGGTGATGCATGATATCCCATACCTGGTTGTCATCACAGTTACCATAAACGATAAAGAGCTCGGTCAGAGATGGAACAAAATCATTATTATTGTTACGGAGACTGACTGTATAGAGCGGGAATAAACACAGTATATTCTCCTCTGACTCTTCATTACACACAGCACAGTCCCAGTTTTTGTACCTATTACTATTTACGTTCACGTAGTAATTGTAAGACGAACATCGCCACCAAACTTCCTTCGCGGACCAATTTGTAGCACACGTGTCTACTATATTCTTACAACTGCGACCAACTGAATCCGGGTAATCAACATCTAATACACACCACTTAAGACTTTGGGAATCATTTTTCTCACCGTGCAATATGTTTTCGGAGGACCACCAGAGCTCACCGGGGTGGTAAGTCATGTTCGCCAACTGAGCGAGGGATGTCTCGGGCTCTAAGCAGAGGATTTTCATACTGAACTTCTCAACTGGAGTGTCGTGATGACATGCCGCGCAAAAGATGTTGTTGTACACAATCCCTGACGAGTTGGAGACGACAGGAATATCCAACAAGTAGTCGGGAGAAGATGTGCCCACACACTTGGCTGCTAGATGGCCCGACGTCCTCTCAGGGCATCGCACCACCATATACACCAGCTGTCAAGGAAGTTAGAGCTTACTGGAGGAAGTTACTACACTGATGACGTCAAATACGATGGTAATTATACTGGACAGAAACTAAACTCGCTGTTACAGGCAAGTGAATTAAGTTGTTTACATGCTATTATGAAAACAAAACACCTCTCGGGATATACCTGATCTGTAATGAAGTACACACATTTATTACATTTCTGCAGTAAGTAACTATGGTAATTTATTTGTTGACACGGTTATCTCTGTAGTGAGTGTTGCCCCTCTGTGTGAATATAGTAGAATGTCGTTTTTTTTAAAGACTTGATTTCTTCTGAAGAGTGAGCACCCGAGTCACATCCGTTAAAGGTGAACGGGATTTAATGTTTATAATTCTCCATCATATAAACAAAGACAAACAAAACAGCGGTGTGTGACTTCTATACCCTTTACTACCCCACAAAAAACAGTATATATATTACCAACAAAAAAGTACTGACATTTTAATCAAGTAATCGAAAAATATTGACGGACAGACTGACTGTTGTACAGACGGACAAATAGACGGATGGACGGGCAGACAGACGGGTGGACAGGTAGACAGACAGATTGACGTCCAGGTGGACATATAGACGGGTAGACAGACAGACAGGTTGACGGATGGAAGGGTAGACGGACATATACAAATCACTATCCCCCCCCCAGACACACAAAATAAAATAGGAGAGAGAGAGAGAGGCAATAAGAATAAACAAGTTTGCTCCTCATCTGTTCTCGAGTAGACTCCTGAAGGGCGACAATTCAATACTCACCCTCTCTTGGACCCAGGAACGTTGAGCGACAGGGAAGAGGTTCTTGCAGGCGAAGGACGTGGGCGTGATGGTGGGGGGCGTGGCTAGGTGTGTGGGAGTGCGGGTGTCATGGCAACAATCACCGTAGACGTGGCATTGGTCGTCACACTCACACGGGTACCTGTAGGCATACGAGGTTACTAATACTGCTTCTCAACTGAAAAATTAATTGGACAAAGGAGTGTATGTGTACAGTGTTCACGCAAAAAAAGAAAAGACATTGGTGTAAAAGAATTCAACCGAAAATAAAGTTTGGTTTAAAGGCCAAAAATTCAGAGATAAAGTGAATAATACGCCACGTGTCTCAACATTAACTCAGTGTTGGGTCTCTTAAATACTGTACAGTTTTCCTTTAATATATCATAAGTTAAATAATTGTCTAATAGTTCAGTACTCTACATCTCTCACCTTTCAGCTGCCCGCATATTATTATACAGTATACCCCCCTAACTCCTTCTTCTCCAGGTGCCACGCGCAGTGTGGGACAGTGTTCAGGACATTGAAAGTATCACTTCTTATGAGGCCATAAACATTTATAAACCTAACAGGTGGTACTGAGGTACACACAAGATGTTCACACTTTGATCTGAACTCTCCAGTAATGTACCCTACACCTCCACACATACAGTACAGTTTATATAGCTGTAAGGTCCCTCAAGTCTCCAACCAGAGTTACGTCGTAGACCGTCACCAACACAAGTTTTGTCAAATTAATTCGATTTTATTGTTAGTTTTGGTGGCTAAATAAGATATCTACACTTCAGATCAATATCAATCACTAATGTTACTTGAGCTATCTTATCTAAAATTTCGATTGAGTGGCTGGTTACTGTGTGTGTTGTTGCTATGATAACATGGTTAATTTTTACAAAGTGTTTAGCTTACATTGTATACTTATCAGGTTTTAATATTTGTGGATCATCCAATATACATTAAGTTAGTTACAGCTGGTGCTAATTCGAGGCATCAAAGAATAAAACATAATATCCAAACTTCGTCGTTTTAACTTATTTTAATATTATTCAAAACTATCAAGATCTGTAAGAAAGAGTAACGAGTTATTTTGTTCATTCATGAATCTGGAGGAAAATACAAGACAATACACTGACATCCAACAATAGAACAATAATAATAATGCTCAATATCTCACAAACACTATACGACTTCTGCTTATGTTTGGATCCCCAGTTTACAAGACGAGTTCCGTGAGTCTCACCACGCTTCATCGTACGGTGAAGGTGTGGGGCGTGTCGAGCAGGAGGGCCCAATGATGCAATTTGAGGGCCTGATTCTTACTGGCTCTGCTGAACTTATGTTGTTGTCTGCTGACCTCACCACCCGTTGTTGATCTTCATAAAGTGGAGCCTTCACTCGAGTTTGTTGTGATATATGTACTCTGGGTCCGTCTTGTGAGTCATCCAAGTAGTTTCTGCGTCTGTCTCGTGCATCAACGTGCAGGTCCGGCGGTAGTGAGGGTGACGGTGGTCGCTGTCGGGCGCTGGGGGGCAGGAAGGAGGTCCTGATTATTTCACTTTTATCTTGATCGGTGATAATTTTGTGATGGTCACCCTGGTAAGACTCAGAGGTCTTTGTCACGCCGCTCCTGGCAGTCACCGGCGGCTTATCGTCATCTTCATGACAACCTGAGACACGGAAAAGGGAACACAAGTGCCAAGTGACTGCAGAATTATCCAAGTCCACGCGCGGTGCTGAATTTTCTTCTTGATTTTCATTGTCATTAACCCCATTTTGTGATCTAACAGCTTCGCTTCTTCCACCTGTAACCCCAAAATTATTACCAGCATTGTTCTTGCCACCATTATCATCACCAGCATCATCTGTGGGAACATGGGAGGCACCATTATCACCACAAACGTGAGGAGGTGTTTCAGTAAAACTCTCAAGATTTTCAACTTCATAATGTACAACATCTGCGTCATGGATCATACTGTAAATCTCTCTGTTATCTGTGTTACCAGAGTGTTCACTGTGGGCAAGTGCAGCGTATGTAGTGACGGAAGTGAACATCAAGACCAAGACCAGCCACACGGTGTAGTACATTAGGCCCTCCACAGCCAGCCTGCTGGTCTCCCCTCCACGACCTGACGCGCCACTCATCCTACCCTGGAGGAGATATAATACTATAATGCATGGTCATGAAAAAAAAAATAAATAAAATAAATATATATATATATATATATATATATATATATATATATATATATATATATATATATATATATATATATATATATATATATATATATATATATATATATATATATACACGGTTATCCTTACTATTTATTATATACACTAATGGCATAGATATAAACGTTGACAGCAACATAAGTAAATTTCCTGACCACACAAGAATAGGGCGTGTAGTTAAATATGATGAGGACTCCGATAAATTACAATGACCTAAAAATTTTCTTAGTATTGACTGTAAAATGGCAAATATAATTTAATGTGGACAAATGTAAATTTCTCAGGCTAAGAAATAAAAACACCTCGTCATATTTAATTACACGCCCATCTTAGTGTCGTCAGCAAATTTACTTATGTTGCTGTGTACGCCTATATCTACAGTAAGTTGTGAATGTATATAATAAATAGTAATGATCCAAGTACCGAGCCTTAGGACACTCCACTGGTGACGTTACCCTAATCAGATTTAGTGCCATGAATGCTGACTCTGTTTTCTGTCCTTTAACTACGCCCTAATCCAATTTAGAATAACCTCGCCAATTCCACGAGCCTCCACTTTACAAAGGGTTTGTTTAAGTCGAGGTAAACCACATCATAATCGTGTCAGTCATCCACTGATTCGAAAACTTGAAACGAATGATAATAGATTTGTCAGACAGGAATTAAATGCCCTTTGGTGAATCCATGTTGGGAAACATCGATCAACTTGTCTTTCTCGAGGTGATTTCGAATTGAGTTTGAAACTATTGCTTCCATCAATTTTCCTATAATTGAGGTTAAACTAATTTGACGGTAGTTAGAGGATAGTGATCTATCTCCCTTCTTAAAAATCGGTATCACATTCTCTATCCTCCAGGATTCTGGTACTACACCTGCTTTTTATGACATATAAAACAAGTTTGCTAAGGGCATACTAAGTTCTTCCTTAATTCCTTTAATACTTTGTCAAATATCTTATCCGGACCTGGCGACTTATTAGGCTTTAGTTTATCTATTTGTTTTCTAACACTGTTACTAGACAATACTAACTCGCTTAATCTATTTTCTTCACTATCTCTACGTCGATAGTGCCTCCGGTATCATGTTTACATTTTCAGTTGTGAAAACTGATGAAAACTATCTGTTCAGCATATTGCTCACTTCCCCTCGTTATCAATTAACTCACCAGTATCTGACTGTATTGGTCCAATCTTGTCACGTATTTTAGTTAAATATATGAGCCGCCAAGTATGGGTCAATAGGGCTGATGAAGTTTCCTTCAATCTTATTTTATGAAATGCGCATCAACACAATGTCTACACTGATGATATTGATCATTTTGTTCTCAGTGTCTCCTTACACACACAACTCAAAACAGTTACTCTTTCAGTGCAGGTCATATACTCACCTTTTATAACACAGATATTCACTCTTTTTGTCCCTGGTGTACCGTACGAGGTGAGGGTCGCTGTCGGACGCACTGTCGTGTTTACTTTAACTACGCCATCATACAACTGAAAAAAGATAATGTAGAAGTTATCTGGAGGAGTGTGAGTCACAGTCATCGGGGGTGTGATTCACTCCCAGATATTGTTTTACCCGGCTCGCACGATACTACTGCGGTGCCCTGGTTATTCAGCCTCAATAATTAATCTCTCAATAAACTGGTTCAAAGTTTGATTAAAGAAAATAAAAACTTAAGATATGTAAATATCTGTTAACCTTAACCCACGTCGTGTTGATGATAATAATAAAAAGGAATACAAAAGTTTACCATAGACGCGCACGTAGGCTGAGCCCCTGCTCGCTATGACCTACCAACTGGTACCATGGCCCAGATAGCAGGGTGTTGTAGACTAGCATCATTGGTTACTGTACTAGCAGTTGCTGTTTTTATGCATTTTTGTGTTCAACATCCAAGTACGTCATACAGTAAATAACAACAATAAAAAAAAATATGAAGTAACTCTTCCCTCTCTAGGCTGGGACTGGCATGTACAGTATTCTCAATCTAACTTCGACAATATTTTGACTCGTTTTTTTCTTGATTATCTAAATCGATTTGAAAACAAAATCTTAGTTACAATCTTTTGAGAATCCAAAGCTAAACCAATACTATTCTGGGGCCTTTTTCTGTTTACTTGAGGGGTGGTGGAAACTTAGCTAACTTCATTACTACTACTACTACTATTGTAATAATAATAGTCATTAAAGAGGGCCACTTCACTGTACTTGTACATATCCAGCTTCTAAAACATGATAGGTCAGGTCCAACATAATTATGAACTCATAAGGCTGGCTGAAGCTTCCGAAGTTTGAACACGCAAAAAAAAATTATAATTAAACAAGAATCGCCAAACAATGAATAAGAACATAAGAACATAAGAAAATAAGGAGTCTGCAATAAGCCGGTTGGCCTGTGCATGGCAGCTCCTGTCGAGAGTTACTACCACTCTCTATCATCCATGAATCTATCCAGCCTCCCTTTGAAACTTTCCAGCGTTCCAGCACTTACTACAAAGTTGCTAAGCTTGTTCCACTCGTCCACCAACCTATTTGTAAACCAGTTCCTTCCTATCTCCCTCCTAAACCTAAACTTATCCAACTTGAATCCGTTGTTCCGAGTCCTATCCTGCTCGGATATTATAAGAACTTTATCTATATCACCTTTATTGATTCCTTTCACCCACTTGAATACTTCTATCATATCTCCCTGCACTCTTCGTCTTTCTAGGGAATGCAAGTTTAGTTTCTTTAACCTATCCTGATATGGAAGGTTTCTAAGTCCCGGAATCATTTTCGTCATTCTTCGCTGCAGTTGCTACAGCATCATGTGAGGTTCCTCATAACACCATCTGTGAGGGAATTACTACACCACGTGATGCCCCTCATAACACCATCTGTGAGGGAATTACTACACCACGTGATGCCCCTCATAACACCATCTGTGAGGGAATTACTACACCATGTGATGCCCCTCATAACACCATCTGTGAGGGAATTACTACACCACATCAGGTCCCTCATAACACTATCTGTGAAGGAATTACTACACCACGTGATGCTCCTCATTAACACCATCTGTGAGGGAATTACTACACCACGTAATGCTCCTCGTTAACACCACCTGTAAGGGAGCTACTACACTACGTGTCTGCTGTTCAACACTTCAGCTCACATGATCTACGTGACCTCCACTGTAAACATTAATTTGTATGTTCACTGTATATTCCTCTACCTTTCTCTAATGAAGGCTTTTGTTAAACCACCAATGTATGTAATAAGTCATTTATGTCCAATGTATATTTTCAGCCTTCGAGCTGCAGAACTTTTTCAATAAACCGTTAATTACTATTATTATTATTATTATTATTATTATTATTATTATTATTATTATTATTATTATTATTATTATTATTATTACACATACACTTCTTTGCTGTCACTCAGAATCAAGTATGACGATCCTCCAGCGACGACTGAATTACAAAATGTTAGCTTTTAATGGTGACACTTTTGCTGTTGAGCTCTGAGATGGCCGGAGAGGGTCGATACGGGACTGGCAGGGTAGTCAGCCTATGTTGCACGCCATCTACAGTAGTATGTGTGAGGGGCGGCGGGGCAAGCTTCACCCTCTCCACAGTAAAGCACCCTCACATACATGCACACTACTTCAACATACACAGGTGGTGATATATACAGGCACCCGTGTATACCAAGATATTTATGCACTGTATAACTTGCTCTCAAATGAATATAAAGAGAAAAATGCAGCAGAATATTTCAATCTATACCAAAAAAAAAAAAAATACAGCTTCCTCGGCAGTGTGTGTAGGGTGTGAGAGCTGTATACTGTCTAAGGTGTGAAAAAAATACTGCCACACCTCACCTGGGCACTGCAACACCACCCTCCTCCTCACCTATATACAACTGTATACACGTCTACACACCATTGCAGTACTTATAACAGTTTTGCATAAGGGTGAGTTTGTGTATCTAAGTCACTCACGCCATTAGTTAGGAGGTAAGACAGTTTACTCTCTCTCAAGTATTTGATTACTGTGGCCTGCCAACACACGTCTGACGTCACGAAAGAAAACACAGTGATGTTGAAGAAACTTGTAAACATTTTCCTCCATGTTTAAAATTCCCCTAAAACAGAATTTTGTATCTATGTTATATATATATATATATATATATATATATATATATATATATATATATATATATATATATATATATATATATATATATATATATATATATATATATATATATATATATATATATATATATATCACTGCGACACTGATTTTCGGCTCGTCAGCGCCAAGCTCTCACTTCAAGTCGCCCCAAAACGGCGAAGGCAGCAAGCCTCCAGAAGAGGTTTTAACACTAAGCGGTTGGAGGATCCAACAGTAGCACATGCTTTCAGAGAGAAGCTCGAATATGGGCTGATAAACAACCACACAACAAACAACCCAAATCCCAGGGCCGAATGAGATATTCTCGACACTGTCATGACAAAAACCTGCAGAGAGACCCTCGGCCAGATCGAAAGAATACACCAGAACTGGTTTGATGAAAATGACTCGGAAATCAATGAACTCGTCGATGATAAACGTGTTGCTTTAACTGACTGGCAGAACAACCCTCAGTCTCGGACCAAAGCTGATGCCTTCCGCAAAAAGGAAGCGGCAGCCCAGCACGAACTTCGTAATCTAAAGAATGACTGGTTTAAAAATAAAGCATGTGAAACACAAAACTTGTAGATCAGCACAAAATGTGCGAATTTTTCAATTCCACTAAAACATTTCATGGGCCATTCACTCTTGGCGCAGCCCCCCTCTGCTCATCCGATGGTAACTCCCTAATTAAAGATGAAGAAAGCATCCTTCAGCACTGGAAAGAGCACTACCATTCACTGCTCAACCAAAACATCGATGTGGATGTCCTGACTACCCAGCAGGTCCCTCAGCATCCAGAGCCGACCCACCTCAGCTATCCTCCATCCCTGGATGAGGTAGTTACTGCCATCAAACCGATGAAAAATAACAGACTCAGGGCCTAATGGAATCTCAGCTGAGGTGTATAAAGCAGGAGGACCTCTGCTTACCAGCTGTCTCCACTCTCTCCTGGAGAATATATGGGAAAAGGAAGAAATCCCCCCAAGCTCTTAAAGACGCCTCCATTGCCAATATTTATAAGAACAAGGAAGACCGGTCAGACTGTGGCAACTACTGTGGGAATTCACTGCTGTCCATAGCTGGCAAGATTATCGCCCGAGTCCTTTTAAATCTAAACAGACTTCTTCCTGAGGTGGAAAACATCCTCCCAGAATCTCAATGTGGCTTTAGACCACCACGTGGCACCACTGGCATGATCTTTGCTGCTCACCAGTTACAGGAAAAGTGCAAACAAGCGCGGACAACCATCCAGTTCATTACCGACCTTACAAATAGTAAACGTAATGCTGGCGGGCAACTGAAAAGGTATAAGGATATTTTTTACCGCTGGACAACGGTAATCATAGGAGAGTGATAAGAGTAATGAGAAAAGTGTGTTGTGTACTAAGCGAGGAGACGATGGTGAATCAGCACGTGTCATAATGAGGAACAAGGCGTGTATATGCTGAATTGGCTTGACCGTCACCCAGGCCCCTGGACGATAACATAAGGCAGTACCTCTCAACTGATCGCCCTAAACATACCAGAGGCTTTCTGGTCAGAGCCAGACCTGCAACACGTAGGTGTGAAAATAATGTGTTTCACCGTGGACGTGAAGAATATAAAATGAGTATCTTCTGGATGATCGTCATACTCGATTCCGAGTGACACCAAAGTAGTAGTAGTAGTAGTAGTAGTAGTAGTATCGGGAAAGGTGAATGAGTGGGTTAGCGAAATCCAAGCTCTATCGGAGATCGCTAACACAGAGCCACATGCGGCCTTTGCAGCATTCACCCATGGAGTCAAGCATCGTTGGAACTACCTGATGCGTACCATCCCTGAGATCGGACCCCTCCTCCACCCTTTGGAAGAAGCAATCAGTGTCAAGTTCATTCCCAAACTAGTGAAACACCCTGACTTAACCCGAGCAGAAAGAACACTTCTTGCACTTCCACCAAGACTGGGAGGGATGGGACTAACTAATCCAGAGGAGATTGCTGACTCTGAACATCAAAATTCACTTAAGCTCACGGCAGCCCTCACTGACCACATAATAGCCCAGAATGCAACAGGGGAAGTGGACACCAGCGAAGTTAATAAGATCCGTAGGTCCATTACAACAGATCGGCAGCACTGCCAAAATGACATGTTGCAGCAACTATTGCTGCATGTTCCAGAAAATTTGACAAAAAAAGTAGCTATAGCGCAGGAGGTGGGCGCCTCGAACTGGTTAACTACGTTACCGATAAGGGCAAATGGTTTCAGCCTTAACAAACAAGAATTTACAGATGCCATTGCTCTAAGGTACGGTTGGCCAGTAGATGGTTTGCCCTCCCAATGCGTGTGTGGCTCTCCCTATGATGGCGATCACGCCATGGTCTGCAAGAAGGGGGGCTTCATATGCATGAGGCATGACGAGGTAAGGGATCTCACAGCAAATATGTTGAAGGAAATCTGCCGGGACGTCATGGTAGAACCGACCCTCCTTCCACTGGATGGCGAGATCTTCCAACACAGGACTTCAAACACATCTAACGAAGCCCGTGTGGACGTCAGTGCTCGAGGATTCTGGACGCGGGGACAGCGAGCTTTCTTCGACATCAGGATTTTTGATCCCATGGCCGTTTGTCACCGTAACCTAGCTCTCGATGCTGCACATAGGAGGAACGAGAACGACAAGAGAAGGGCATATGGGGAGAGAATTCAAAATGTCGATCAAGGCAGCTTCACTCCGCTAGTGTTCACAACCTCTGGTGGGATGGGCCCAAGCGCAAGATGTTTCTACGCCAGACTCGCGGAGCTGATCTCCGAACAGAAGCAGCAGCCCAGAAGTTATGTTACAGCCTGGATGAGATGTCGACTGTCCTTCTCTCTCCTTCGGTCGGCTTTGCTCTGCCTCAGGGGAACGAGAGCTTCTGCCCCTACTCCGACAACTGCTGCAGATATTGACTATGAGGCTACAGTCACTGAATGCCGCATAGATCTGCGGCTCAACTAATTTAACACAGATAGGATAGCTTCTTATGTATTAGGATATTTAATATTAAGGTAAATAAATGGCGGCGAAGGTGTGGCTATTGGGGGAGGCTGGAGGCCACTATCAAAAAAAAAAAAAAGTAGTAGTAGTAGTAGTAGTAGTAGTAGTAGTAGTAGTGTGTGTGTGTGTGTGTGTGTGTGAACGTCAGGAATTTACAATATCATATCTTTTACTTATAACAAAATAAACCTTATACATAAAACAAAGGGTGCTGATGTAAGCATTTTACTATACACCTACTATAGCCTGGGTGTCAAGAGGTATAATGACAGTGTCACTACGTTAACTGGCACTGGTGTCAAGTACCACAAGCGATAAAGTGTCTATCGCTCCTGCGCCACCGTTGCCACATACATATATAAATACACATTACGCTCCAGGAACTTAAGCAAGAGATTAAAGATGATTTTTTAACTTATGGACACTTTATTTTAACTCTATATTAGGTTAGATCTGATAAAAGCGACAGAAATGTAAAGCCTTATATTATGGAGTCAAATATTTCCCGCCTTTGTTCAGGTTTTATCGAGTAGCCGCCATGGTGTTGCGGTCGTGTTATTAATGGGGGGGTTATGGTATTATCGTGTCATTAATGGTGTTATGATGTTAATAATGAAATTATTAATGGTGTTCTGGTGTTATTAATGGTGCTATGGTATTATTAATGGTATTCTGGTGTTATTAATGGTGTTATAATGTTATTAATAGTGTTCTGGTGTTATTAGTGGCGTCATGATAGTTATGAATGGTGTTCTAATATCATTAATGGTATTCTGATGGTATTAATTGTGTTCTGATGTTATTAAAGGTGTTCTGGTGTTATCAATGGTTATAATGTTATGGTGTTGTCATAAACTTCCCCGTCTTTACTAAAGAAGTCGTAAAAGTGATACCGAATCCCCGTAAGGTTAGGGAAAGACATGAACAATACTCCCAGAAGAATGGGAATGAAGGCCTTCGTTCAGGCAGTTAAAAAAAGTCCTTCACAGTGAGGAACTTTGGGCTACGAAAAATAAATACAAGAAGTTGTTGAGTTATTGAAATTGACATTCGTTGATATATTTCCGGATGATGTTGGAAATTCCTGTAAGTGATACAAAACAAGGTTTTAATTTATTATTTTTACCGCTTTTTAGCTTTCTAGTCGGTCGGTTTGTTCTGTTACGACCTTCATAGTCTAGTGTTAGTACCCGAGATGTTTGCTGGGGGACTGGGGTCATAAAATTATTATATAACACCCTTCTCACATTCGTCCAGGGGCTCAAACATGGGACGCAGTATGAGAGGCAAGCCCGCTACCGCTATACCACTAGCGTAATATAAAATATATTGACACACACCACAATATTTAGGTTGATCTAAGTCTCACTGCCCGGCCAGTACATGTAGCAATGGTCATAATAAATGAGGAGTACTGTCGACTCCTTTCGCAGGTAGTGATCAAGCAGGTCTCCCTAACGTTTGAATACTTTACCTAAACGAGTAGTTGTTTCACACGTGTGTACCGGCAGGTCAAAGTTCAGCTTGCCTGACACCTGACGTCCACTACACTCACTCCTGGTGACATCCAGACGAATTACCGAGACGTGACATTACGTGGACACCGGGACTGTGACAAGTGTTGATACAGTAAAAATTCAGAATGTTCTTTTCAAGTGACCAGCGTTGATGGCTGGTGGAGGGCTGCCCACTGCTTCTTGTTCTATCGGCGCTGTAAACCTTCTTTTAGTTCAGATGTGTATCTCTTTAACTGCCAAGTTAGTGTGACACTGTTTATTGTGGCATATCAGGAATTTTCTGTAAACAATGTGCCACTCTGTGCTGTCTGTTAATAATACTTCTGTTACAGTACCACTTGACTTATTGGTTGATAACTGGTGGCGCGGGTCTTCTGGCGCACGTCCGAGGCTGAAGACTAACCTATTTAGGTCTGGACGCTCGGGAGGACTGGCGCTAAGTGAGGGTCTGAGCCTCTGAGGTTGGCGATTACTACGAGGGTTCCTGCCTCCCCTCCCCCACGGTCAAATAGTGTGGTAGAGTAGGGTTTATTTAATAGACCCTACTCTACCACCTAACACTTCTCTACCTACACGTCCACCCCGTCACGTTATAACCACCAGAACAGTTATTCCTATAGGGTCAAGGAGTCAGGTATTGAGTCACACTGGGAAACAAGGACTGTTTGGCGAGCAACAGCGCCTTCCGTATACACACCATCACTTATCTGGGTGGGGGGGGGGCGATACATTTTCTGTTAAAACTCTTTTATTTTGCTAAATTCTTGCAATCCAAACTCAGTCATACCCCGGACCAGCATTGTGAGGAACTTCCTGCCTCAGTCTTGTTGTAACCTCTATGACTTCATATCACCCTGCTTCAAGTAACTTGTCTGAGGTCTGATGACATTTGGGAAGGAAAATTCTCAAGGCCAAGTGTTGCAACATGACTAAAGATAAGAATGCGTCGTGCCAGCCGTTGATAAGCTGAACCCTCAACAATTTCTTCTAGTGACAGTCCTGGCACTTAACATTATAGGACCTATCCTGCTCTGCTATAAACAAATGAACGTACAGAGAATTTCTTTTTTGCAATAAGCATATGATGGCTCTGTTAGGCGATAATTGGTCCAATCGTTTACCATTGTGTGTATATCTGCACTGTCCATACTGAATCAATGTGAATTTGTATGAATATTTTACTATCTACTTGTATTACCTTTATGAAGACTGTCAGGCACGGAGAGCGACCGCCCTTCAGATACACCGCATCGACTCCTCCTGATATTTACAACTGCATAGCTTCATTACCAGACGCTTATCTCGATTAGGACATTCAAGATACCGGCAGCTACGCCATAACGCACACATGTACAGTAACTCACTCTGGTGTAGGGCGTATATACAATTAACTACTATAAATAATGGTCTTTTAAGTATTATTCGGATAATTTTACCTAAGATGATCGCGGTAATACTGAACTTTGGTATTAACTTACGTTTCCCTTATTGCCTTGTTATCCTTGGCCATTCTGGAGGGTAATTTTCATGATCCCAAGTACTATTTTGTTGTTGAAATAATAGCCAATATTTTATCACTCAATTTTACCCCACCGATAAGGCTGTACCGTCAAATAACTCGCACTGATGAATATTAGCTCTGAGAGTATAATTATGTTTACTAGTATTGTACTGCATTAGTGCAGCAGCTGGGAAGGCACCCACCGAGCTGCTACATTGATAACAAGTGACTAACAAAATAAACCAACTTTTCACAAGAATCTTATCAAGTGACTCATCTGGACAAAAGTTCCGGGATGAAGAACCGTATTTCTACTGCCTGTGTAATTTCGTGTCTTATTTGTTGATGATTAAAATAACACGAATTTACTTATATTTCTAGTTAAAATGTATTTTAAGTTTGCACGCCTATCCTATTCTTTTAATCAAGACATTTGTTTCCATGTGAATGACCCAAACTGTCGACTGCCAGCAAAAATTAAAAAAAATCTCCATGCACAGAATACAGTACACACCTTGTGGGAGATCAAGGAAAATATCTTCAGGGGAATTGAACATCACGTGTTTGTATTATATTCATGTAAAAGATAGACAAAAAAAACTTGCTCTAAAACCATGTTATTGATGTCTTGAAGCACTCCTGAAGACGAATTTACAAGGGTGGGTTTAACACGAGGCGCCTCTACAGGCTGCTATCAAGGAACGCCTGGGTCTTCCTGTTAAACTTAGATACAGAATCTGATAAATTCAAGATTGTGAACTAATATCTTGAGGGTAATATTCAGCAAGACAAAACACATCCTGATGGTGTCTTAGTGAGTTAATAGTGTTGAAATCTGTTTAATATTTAATCCCTATACTATACATGCGACTGACTGTCTAGCCGTCAGTCGGTCCAGGCGTCAAGGAGTTGTGAACTCGAGGAACTAGAACAAATTGCGGTAGAGTTTTAAATATATATCAAGAGTGCAGATGGGTTTAATAATTAGTATGTTTTGTCATTACTGTCCAGAGGGTATCTTAGGGTATCTTACGGCGGCGGGCGACTTCCCTGTACGTGAAGTGGGACCAGTGTTGTGTCAAGGTCTAGGCAAAGAAGGGTCCCTGTGAATTTTGGGGACTGTGGGCGTTTTGGGTTGATTTTAGGGACTGGGCGTATAGGGTGGATTTTGGGGACTGTGGGCGTATTGGGTGGATTTGGGGAAGTGTGGGCGTAGTGGGTGGATTTTAGGGACGATGTGGGCGTATTGGGTGAATTTCAGGAACTGTGTGAGGGTAGTGGTTAAATTTATGCCCCCTGTTGGTTTTTAAGGTATCAAGAGTCAAACATGACAATGAGACACGTTTTTGGTTCTTATATCCATCGTATCTTAGTAAAAATAACATTAATCAAAACATTCCCTGTAATAATAATAATAATAATAATAATAATAATAATAATAATAATAATAATAATCTACTTTCAAAGAAGTGGGGATTGGTTTGGTCACAGTACCAAATCACAAATACCTCGTCTCCACAATCACATGGAATAGTCCGACTTTGGCCCGTCTGAACCGACTCCCTTCCTCACCATAGCATCCACACAAATGATCCTTTTTCCAACCTTATTTTCCTGCGCAGACACTTGTCGACTTTCTACCGCAGGAAACACAAAACTACGAATATTCAGTGCTCCACGAGTGTACTTATTCACTGTAATACTTAATAAATGACAGTTATTCGATTTAAAAGTGTATTGCTGTCTCGTTATCACCCAACACAACGCCACTCGCTACGACTGGCAGATGGTAATTCCGAGAAATATATTCCCTGGCAACTCGGTTACCTTTTGTCACACCTTCCGCTGTAGCTTCACGTAACGTATTTAGGGGACAGATGTATGGGAGGACAGGAGTAGAGAGGGGCAGATGCAGGGAGGGTCAAATATATGTATGGAAGGACAGGTGTATTGGAAGGAAAGGTGTAGGGAAAGACAGGTGTAGGGAGTGACAGGTGTATGGAGTGACAGGTGTAGAGAGGGACAGGTGTAGAGAGGGAGAAGTGTAGGGATGGACAGGTGTAGGAAAGGACAGGTGTAGGTAGTGACAGGTATAGGAAAGGACAGGTATATGTATGGAGGCTGGAGGTGTGGGGGAGAAGCCAGTGTAAGATAAATGATTTCTCATAACAATAACAAATTATGATGACAAAAACTGATGATATAAGCAACTGGCAACGTTTATAAGCTTTCTCAGCTATCTAAGGGTCCCAGGGGAGATAGTCCCTAACGACGTACTTGTACTGTCCTTGGTTGAATCGACATGCAGTTTTACCATCGTATGTGTGCTTATACCGTATAAGGCGGAGAATCTTCAGGGGTGTTACGTGTTTGTACAGTATATGTAGTGTGTGTGTGTTCGTCTGTGTTAATGTGTTATGTGTGTCAAGGGGGGATAGCGAGCATATTGTTTAGGTGTGTTGATACTAAGTGTGTACACAGTGATAACAACGGAGGGAAGAGTGGAAACGGGGAGCAGGGGAGAGCGAGAAGGGCAGGGAGGGAAGAAGAGGGGTACGTAGATCGAATGTCTTTCATTGGCACCTGAAGTGGTCATTGGTGTGGGAGGTCAGTAGCGCACCAAAAATTCTGTAAGGGGGGCTGGAGGCCATGGACCTACCCAGAAATTCGTCGAAGGAGCGAAATTGCGTGGCCGAAGGCCGAGTTAGCGGGATTTTTTAAGCAATTTGGTGAAAGCTGAGACCTAATAAATTGTTTTATACAGTATAAAAGCCAGACAAAAATTCGGCAAATAATCGGCACTGGAAGCCACATACATAATTTTTATTTGCACGTGCTGTGTATTTGAACGATCCTCTGACTTATCGCATTTCACACACATAATTTAAGTTTAAAACAAATGAATATAAATAAAAATTATTAACTATAAATTAAATTTCAATCAAGCATAATCAGTCTTGACTGTTAGCTTAAGCTCCTTGGGGGGGGGGGGGCTCTTCTCTCGATCCCCGTAGTTGCGGCCATGGGTCGTGTGGCGAGACGTGCTGATGTAAGTGGGTGCCCAATAAACTAGCCCCCTCGTGGGCAATCTGTAATCTGGTGCCACATCGTATCATAAACAGTGAGAGAGTGGTGCAATAAATTCGATAACGATACACCTGTCACTATTAGTACTACAATTAATATATATTAGTTGTAAAAGTAAGTGAATTGGGTAAGGAGCAATACTAAGGACAATGCGGGAACACGAAAAAACATGTAACAGCGGCACCACTGTAGCAAGGAAATCCGCGTGACGTCATCTCAGAGGCCTGCATTGGCACCTTGGGCGCGCGCGAACCTTTAAATTGGCAATTACGAGCAAATTGAGGTTTATTTCCTTTATTTTCAGACCAAATGGGACCTTTTCGGCAGAAAAAATTCACTTTTACCTGACCATGGGGTGACATGTAGGATTCCAGCATCTGACCACGGACGGTAAGTAACCGTGGGAGGTTGTAAAGGTCCAGTGTTTGGTGGGAACATCCCTTCTCAGTTCTCATATCCGACAGAGTTGGGTGGGAACATCCCTTCTCACATCCGACCCATGCAGGATTGAACTTGGGAGGCACAGAGAGAGACGAGCATGATTTTTGTGTACCACCGATACCAACGAGGGTACTGTATAGTGGTGGTGGTGAGAGGGGGTTGTGAGTACTGCCTGGGGGTGTCATGGGTGTGTGAGGGCGGGAAAAGGTGTATCTTGTGTCACCTGGACGGTAATAATACGAAGGCTTGTGACTGTGATATTGAGGTTTGTTTTGTTTTGTATATCACAACAGTGGGGACCACCTGAAGATTAGGCATCCCAGCTTATTTCACCTGATGATTAAACAACCTAATGCTACCCGGGGGAT